AGATAAAGTGCAAGGTATATAAATAAGATGAGAATATAAATGAAAATTGTAAATTACGCATTACAGTAAATAGTTTAATGGATCGAGGGTAGAAGCTCCTTCTGAGCCTTATGTTCTCACTGAGAAATAGCAGAAGTGCTTTCCGGACCTCGGCCTGCTAAAGAGGTAGTCGCATGGGTGGGATGTGTCCCTGCAGATTTTGGCTGCTTCGCTCCAGCAGGGTCTGAGGGTTAGGGTTAGGTTTAGGGTTAGGTAAAAGGGAGGGCAGATCAGCCTTGCTTTGCAGTCCAAAGGGAGGGCAGAGCAATTACGAAGCCAGGTTGTGATTCCCATGGTGAGGATGCTCTCTAATGCTCCCAAGCAGAAGGCTCTAAGAAGGACTGGTGAGACCTAGAACCACCTCGGCTGCCTGAGATGGTATGGCCAATGCCTGGCCTTAGGTATCTGAATCTGTACATGATTCGACTAGGTGAGGTCATCAGAGATACAGACTCCCAGGTATCTCAAGGTATTCACCCTCTCAACTGGGACCCTTTTGATGTTGAGAGCGTTGTAGGTACCAGAGTGCTTACGCTTTAAGTCCTTCACCATCTCCTTAGTCTTACTGGTGTCGAGTGAGAGGCAGTTAGCTGGACACCATTGCGTCAAACTGTTCACCTCATCCATGCAGGCCTTCTCAAAGATTTTGGAGATCAGGCCAATCACTAATGTGTCAGCTGTGAGTTTGGTTATTTTATTTGAGCTGTATTTGCATGTACAAAAACTACAGCAGTGAGGTCAGGACAGAGCCTTGGGGCGCCAACGCTGGGGGTGATGGGAGGCAGAGAGCAGGGTCTCACCACCTGGGGTCCGCCGGTGAGAAAGTGTATAACCCAATCAGAGAGGAGTGTATAGAGACAGGTTCCTGAATTTGGAGAACGGTACCACTTTACAATAAGGCTCCCTTTTACCATTTGTAAATGGTAGTAACTCATTAATAAAAAGAAAACAGTGTTATAACTTGTTTAAAATTGTCTATTGATAATTTACAAAGTGTTACAACTGAATTAATAACCAGAGTATAAGCCATTCATAAACCCTTTATATGGGCAGCCTAATTGTAAAGTGGCACTGGAGAACAGTGTAAGGTGGGACTATGGTATTAAAAGCTGAACTAAAATCTATGAACAGGAATCTCACATAGCTCCCCCTGACACTGTCAGAATGTAGGAGTGGAATGCAGGGCATGGCTTTGCCGGCGGAGCTGTTTGGGAGGTTTGCAAAACTGAAGCAGATCAGGGATCCTACAGAAGGTGGAACAGGAATCATCTCTGACCAGCCTCTCAAAGCAAGCGCTTCAGGGCAATAGGGTTATAAGCATTTAGAGTGGTAGGGCTGGGAGTCGTAATAATAGGAACAGGAATGGGATTTAAGCTGCCAGCCCTGGTGGTCTGAAGATACCATTCCAGCCACATTTAGACAAATAGCTATAAAAGTGTCGCAATGAATTCAATAATAATAGCACATTCAAATTGTATAATATCCATGCAGTGCATTAAACTAATGAATTAACTATTTTTTCTTCTCTTAAAACTGCTTGCATAACAACAGCAAACACTGTACATTTGGCTGCGTTCACTGGAATCTCCTTAAACAGATTACATTGCAGGAATTAAAGGTAGGAATTGCCCTTCAGCTGACAGGCAGAATAAATAAAATCCCTGAATGGACTGCAGTTTTCGTAGTCAGCCATGAGGGTTCACTGTGCACCCTGATAATCAGCTAACAGTGCCAAATTAGCAGCAATGTAATACCTAATCCTTACATTTTAATTGGCATTATTATGAGGTCCATAGAAATGCCAAGTCTTACCATGCAACATATCTTTGTTCCTTTTTTAATTACTCCATTATTCACTTTAAATCCATTCTACCACCCATCTATTTTCCAGCTACTTAACCACTGCTGGGTCAATGGGAACTGCACATATAATGTTACTGAAATTTGTTGATTATTTGTATGGCAAAAACCGATCTTGTATTTATTTTACCACATCATCCTATTATTTTGGGCAGCCTTCCTTTTGTGACTTGTCGACTTATTTATGTATCATAATACCACATAAATAAGTGAATGACAATGTGAGAAAGTAAGTTGCAATAAAGCACAAAGTAAAAGCAATAACCTCAATATTTTAATAATAAATAAATCCTGATGTTTAAGAAATTTTAAGTTTTAGAACTGCTTTATTCGACCTAAATTCTATTTGGTAACACATTCCCAAAAATCTGTCGTGTTGAAGTTCCAAAAATTGTTCTACAACAGTATGGCCATAACAAACAAAAAATTACATAAAATTTCATATACAAATCGTTTTTTTCAAATTTTCAAAAAAGTATATTCTTATGGAACGATGCATTTAGTAAAAGTTTCATTTTCTCTTTGTCACTCATTGAATGACAAAAGTTTATTTTCATTACAAACAGTATTATTAATTCGACTATAAAGTAATTTACTGTGAGGATTTATAACAATCCTATACAGGATAAGCAATTGTAAGTTGGATCAACGGATGGATGCGTCGTCAATGTTTTTTTCACACTTTGCCTGTGAAAAAAAATGTTACATATGAATATTTGATATTCTCATTGGAAATTTCCAAATTCTCAGTGAGCATGGTCTTTTAAATTTTATTTTAAAAAATTATGTAAATCATTGTAAATTGTGCTTATCACCATAATTCATCATTTTAAACAATGCATTTTATTTAATTACACCATTTTCACGTGAATTGTTTGACTTTGTGTTAGGTGGCCCAGAATTAAGGTGACTCTTTAATTAAATGAAGGCTCGTGAAACTCAGAAGAGGTTTGTCCTGTGATTCTAGTCCTGCAAATCTCTATCTATGATTCATCAAAATACCCATCCACTCTCTGATTTATTTTGAACTTCACCGTTCACTTTTAGATGATATGTTTGGCTATCTTTCTTTACATCTGAATAGAGTCAGAAGTGGGCTATTTTGCTGAATCGGTTTGAAAGCGGGGCACCCATACATGTTTTCCTGAAAAGTCGACAACTGACCTGGATGGTAAAAAAATTCAGTGCTGGCATGTTTGCATGATCAGTCTTTGTAATGCCTTTCTGGATAAACTCAGGAAGAGCGGTGATGTGTGGCTCTGTTGATCATTGAATAGAAGGTTGTCGGTTCAAATCCCATGGCTGGCAGAGAAGTATCAACACTGGGCTCCTGAGCAAGGCCTTTAAAACTAACTGCTCCAGGAACACAGTCCAGCTCAAATCCTGATTTCTATGTTCATTTGGAGAGAAACATGTGTAATATACGTATTTTAAATAAATAATCAATGTAAGTAAACCGCTCCCTACTCTGTGACAAAGACAGCACTTACCAAGGCCCCAACACGAACCATTTTTACACATGAATACAAATTTCCCAGGAATCGAGAGCCAAACGGCCTCTGTCTAGGAAGCTGGCCACTGCTCAGATACTTGGAAAGGCTGGGGAAAACGCCAGCAGAACATGCAAGAGAGGATTTCATTTTTATTTTTTTTCGTTTGTGGCTGGAGGGTCCTCGTCTCTCGCCTGAGTGTTCCTGGAGATAACGTTTTGTGGATGGGTGTCTGCCATTACACTGATTTAATGGACCCTTAAAACTTCAGGGACCACAGCAGGTACTAAAATGGGTATTTAGCTTGGGCTGCAAATCTTCATATGCTGTAGGGGGAGGTGATAAAGAAATCCTCTTCTCATTGGACGAGGAACAATTTTAATGAGTACTTTTTTCCATTAAACATAATTGTTTTTCTCTGCCCTTTTTGGGGCCCTGTTACTCATTAGGTAAATGCAATTATAACAACCATAGTACATTTTATTCAGTTACATTTAAATAATGTTCAGTTTTAAATGATTGTGGGCTTGCCCACAGTTAATGGTCACAAATATTTTCAAGTGACATATTAGTATAAACTAAATTCATATGTGTGAAACTCAGGCTACTGAACAATGCTTTTCTGTTCCCCGTTGCCCTATATATGGGGCTTTAAAACAAGGATTAACCATCCATCCATCTTCCATAGCTGCTTCTTCAGTCTAGGGTTGTGGCCTGAAGCCTCCTGTATAATGTATAATAAGGATATGACTCTGAAAACAGCACGCAGCCAGCTTCTCTACATTATTCATTGAAAAGGTGCCTATTATTTTTCATCTCTGCGTATTGTAGTGAAGAGGACCCATCTTAAGCCCTGATTATTTTGTCTGTCTGATTATTATGTTGCTTCATGAGCAATGCAATTTGATATACAGCCACATGTCATCTGTTCAACTGACCCTTAACCTGAACTTTTGTGCTTGCTGATACATCTGTAAGCTGTGAAATGATCCCGGTGTCACCCATTTACCTTTGAAACAAATGCACATAGGAGGGAATAACAAATGTCCAAGGAAGACCAATCAGTTTTGTTCCCTACAGCTGGACTAAAGCTGCTAGTGATGTCATTGATCCAGCAGTGTCTTAGGCCAAACCCTCTATTAATAAACACGTCTTTACAGAGGGTGCCTAATACCTTATTTTAATTCATTCCTTTAAGTACGTGAAGTTCAGTGCAACCAAGTATGCTATTTTATTTTTTTCATGGTTGAGTGTAGCTTTGCGAGTCAATTATACCATTCGTTGTTGTTATTATTACTTTTCTTTGTATTCATTTGTACTTCGTTCTGGGGTTTTCCACATTGCATTGTTTCACGAGTCATATTATGCACAGCACACGCTATTTTGTCATTTGTCTTCTTGTTATTTGTCCGTGCACGCGCGTAGTCTACATTATACTTAAATCAGAATATGTTCTTTTGGACCAATAAGAAAATTGTTGCTGTGCCCGAAAAGAAGAACGTCGGTGGCCAATCAAAATGCAGCAGCAACATTACCTGACAAGCGCAATTCATTGGCCCTTTCTGACCCTGGACTGGAAGGGGAGGGTGTGACCGCGAGACTTCCGAAAAAAGCCGACAGGGACGGGGAGGACAGAACGAAAAGTGACGATTTTTTACTGATACCCGAGTGCCCCGACCCCCTCCCTTTTTCAATATGGCTGCCGTATCTGCACTCTTCAGTACCGCTCCAATTGGAGATTGACTCCGATCTCCCTTCTCTGCTGCCTCTCACTCCTGTCGCTGTCGCCAAGACTTTTGAAAACAAATCGGTTTTGCATTTATCCACCTCCCTGTTCGTCGGTTTCTGCTTCAGCCTCCACCAAGCATCGCTTCGGGCCTTTTTCCTCCAAAACAACCAGCTTCCAGAAATCCTAATCAATCACCAATTTCCAATGGTTTGAAAACACTTTTCGCTCTCTATTTCCTTTTTAATGAACAATGTGTGAAAACTGCGCCGAGCTGGTGGATGTTTTAAATGAAAGTAAGTAGACGTTGAGCATGTTTCCCCGTCGTCCGTGCCTTCACGGTGTAGCGTAGCTCCTCGGCTAACATTGTCTTATTTTTATTTTTTAGTTTTGCAGTTTCTGCTCCCACCACTAGCTAAGCTAGCCAGTCAGCTGCTAGGCCTTCGGTACTGGGGACTCGGGCAGCTCTGGGGTTAGTTGGTTAATCACAAACCTGGCAGTTCAAGAACCTTCGGGCTGCAACTTTACCTATTTTAAGCTGTTAATGTAACCCACCCTGAGCCATCTAGTCAGTGCTGCCCATCTCTGTAGTGCCGTCGGCTTCACAGCCACCTTTTCCGTATTGTCCGGCCGGTGCGACGTCGCCTTGGGTACATTTTCCCTCAGGTTGTCTTTTTTTGTGTGGGGCTTGCAGCTCCCGGCCGTGCGGCCCCTGCGTCCTCGCTGCCTCGGTTATTTCTCGGCTCGGCAGCAGAGCGTTATAAGCGGCGGCGTCGGCGTTAGCCGAGCCGCTGTGCTGGGGGCCTGGGGTGTGTGGGGTAAATGTCATTGACAGCTCTGGTACAGACCGAGGGCTCGGCTGTATGGCGCCGGCCGGTGGCTCGCTGCTCCAGTCGGGTTTTGTTGTGGTTCAGCGGAGCGGTGCAGCCTGGCAGTGGCGTGGCGCCGCTTGCCCGCTATTAACCCGGCTATTAACACTTTCCCCATATTTCCCAATCCCTCGTCGCGCCTGTCGTCCTAGCGCAGCCTTGTCGTGTGTTGAAACCGGGGACGGGCTTTTTATTCCTGCTGACTTCTGAGCGCTGTGCCGCTGACCAGGAGGGCCCGGGACTCGCTGATGTCTCCGTCCCCCTTCCTGACTTTCGCATTAATGTCTGGTTTCCCGAAACGTTACCGTCCTTTTTCATTGAATGTTGGCGAATGAGGCCGTTTTCTGTCCCCGACACTCGGACACGGAGGGTTGAAGGAGCGGAGCGGAGCTGTGTGACAGCGGGTTCGCGGCCTGCCGGCGGCAAGGCAATAAACGGCCCGGCCGTCATTTATGTGAGCTAGGCTAAGCTTGTTTTTTTGCTTTTGTTTCCCTTTTTTGCGGTGGTGTTTTTATTAAGTACCGATATAATGTGTGGTCCTCGGGATGTATTGGGGTGCCGAGTGCCATAAGCGGCCCTGAGGTCCAGTCTGTCATTTTTCTGCGCTCTCTCTCCAAAAGGGGGGAAATGTGACATTTGTTTGCGGCGGATGGCCTAATGATAAAATGGCTAACATTAGCTGCACTGCCAGCCCGGATCTTTGCAATACTGTGTTCTTGACGGGGGAAGCCCGTGTTCTTATCTGTGTTTCTTTTAATGCTCTTAAGGTACATTTGTCTATTTCTCGAGCAACTTGCTGAACAAGTTTTTGTATGGATTCAGCATTGTGTGGCTAGCCGGCACTAGATAAAAGCTGTGCTCTGTAAATGTAACCATTAAAGCATCACTGTCTTGTGTTTTATGCATGTTACTTGTCATTTTTGCGGGATCGAAACTTTTGTTTCAGTTTTGCAGTCTGTTAATGTCACGAGTTTCCAACAACGCTACATAACGTGTGAAACTGACTTTACCATTTTTAAAATGGCTCCTTATTTGCAGAACACTGATGGGCTCTCAAACTTGAATAAAGAAATTTGGCATGTTCTGTGGTGATAATGAATTATGCACGCTTTGGAAAGGGTGGGCTGGGGAGAGGTACAGATCAAATTAAACCAAAATGTGCTCTGTGTATCCATAGAAAAGCTAAACAGGTGACCCCCCCCCCCCCAACCTCTATCACTATCTCTTTTCAGTTCTGTATGAAATGTGCTGTCTTTTGTCACAAGTAGGTTGTTACCACTGTAGTTAATTTTGTTTTAGAAAAGTACAAACGGTATTGCTGCTTAGAATTTAGGTATGTAGTCAATGGAGTCTGCCTGGTATACTGATAGATACATTTCAGTAGACTTGTATGTCTTGGCCAATATGTTCACTTTGTACCCAAAACATTAACCGACCAATGGGAAGATCGCTCACAGCAGTCGGATGGCACTCTCCTCTGATCTAAATTTAAGTCCACATCCTGTAAGAAAGGTGTCAACCCAGAGGAACTTTGGTCCACTTTACCATTTAGCTGTCATGAAGGAGCTATCTGTATTATGCGGTTTTTCTAGTGAGACTCTTGATGTTGTTCCAATGGCACAATGATGCTGCTGATGCTTTTCAGCTGTGTGTGCAGGATGTTCCTGGGCAGGTTAGGACACAATGAGGGCTGTGACTTTCCCTGCTCTCCCATGACATGCTTCTGTCACCTTTGTCATCAGTTCATCATCCCTCCATTTTTGTACCGCAGAAGTTTTCAGTATAATACTGGTACTTTCCTTCAACCAACAGTTTTTTTTTGTTTTTTTTTTAAATTCTCCCGACAGCCTCATACCTTGCTGGATCTCACACTGCTTTAAGAATGCAGTACAAAAAAAAGTTTGTTCAGTCTGAAAAGTTGCTTTTACATTCCAGTATGTGAATTTTATACTGTCTTTAACTGTTTAAATCAATGTCTGCAAGTTCTGCAATATCTGTATGCTGTGATACTTATGTTAAGTGAATAGGCCTAATAATTGTAAAAATAATATATTGCTGTTGCTGATCAGTGTGTGGTTTCCAAAAAACACGTCAACTTGACATGCTTATTTTTGCTATTAACCTGAGTTCTGGGTGTCATTGTAGTACAAATGGCAAGTTAGAGTGTGGTCTATATGGTAGTGCGCCCTTGTCTTTGCTAGGTGTTCTCACTGTCGAAGAAGGCCTAACCTTGGCCAATTCCCCAGACTTCGCAAATCTTTCTAACTCTCACTCTTGCGTTTTGCCATTTCCCCCCCCGCCCCCCCGCCCATGACACATTTGCATGAGTTAATGGTGTTGGTATCTTGAGGAAAATCACTTGCAGTAGGAATGAAGTGCCAGTGAATTTTGGAGGCTGGACTTCAATGATTCTTGTGACTTTTAAAGATCAGGCTAAACTTGTAATGGTTTATATATTACATCTTCCCTAGTAAAGTCCTGAATAGTCGCCTTGTGAAATCATGGTTTGTATATGTCTGCTTTGTGTAAGAATGTTTTCAGTGTTTCCATCATGCCCAAATATGGAATATGGACACTCCAGAAAGCTGTTCTAAATACATAAAGGAAAGGCAGCTGATTGGCTGTATGATCTGTGCCGTGGCCCAGGGACCTCCGTGGTTGTGGCTTTGTATTGGCCCACAGCGTGTATGTGGCAGTTTTGTGGGGTTCTACCTCCTGTCATCCACAGTTGGTGACTATTGGTGATGCACATGCTTGTAGGGTGCATGTGTGGGTCTGAGAACCAAATGTGTTGCTCTCCTGTACAGGTTGTAGTAGTAGTAATAATAATAAATAATAATAATAATAATAATAATATATTTTATTTGTATCGCACTTCACATTTAAAACAATCTCAAAGTGCCACAGAATAAAAACATTGTCATAAAAAGCAAAAATATATCTGGAAGATGGTAAAACTAACAAACTAACATAAAACTAAAAAGTTTTGCCCTTTTTATAATGTGCATTTAATGATGATTGGGTGAGTAGATGAGCAGCTGAGTTGTTTGACTATATGGCTTCCTCACTCTCATGTGGAATGGTACGTTCTGTGTGCATGTATTATAATACTTTAAATTACATTGTCTCACCACTGCAGCAGTCCTGGGTCAAAAGCATTTCTCCCTTGCTGCTTTTGTACGTTTTGACCTAATTGGTCGGAAAACAGTTTGACCCAGTGAAAAGAGCAGTGTGCTCTAGTTAGCTTTTATGATTTTGTAGTGTGCCTCTCAAAAAAAAAAAACCCATCTATCTTTAGTGGAATGATTTATTCTGAAAAAATAACCACAAGACCATGTTACTTTGTATTTAATAAAAACAATCTTTTAAAAAGGTACCCATTATAAACCTGTTGTGGAGAATTCAATAAAAACATTGATGGTATGTTTTTAATGGTAATTATGTGCCTTTGTCATTCAATAAGTAATAGTAATGTAGAAATCAATGTGAAAATGCACTTGCCGTTAAAATACCATTCGGGATCATTGAGAGAAAGTCATGGGAGCCAGAAAAAGTGTGCATCTTTGAAAAGCTAAGCTGGGCATTTTAAAAAGTTTGTAGGTGAACTGTGGCTCAAATGAAATGTTACGACAGTCAGTCAGGTTTGTGGATGAGCTTGTATGGTCACTGGCTTCAGGTGACCTCCTCCGGTCTCAAGTGGAGCATAAGCAGCAGGTAGGCCATACTGTGGGGTGGAGTGTATCTCCTGGCCAGTAAGAGGAAGACAGATGAAAATGCATGAAAGCCACAGTTCTGGAGACCGTAGGTCCTTCATGGGGCATCGGGTGACTCTCACACTTAGGGAGAAGTGCAGTTGGTTGGGACTTGGGTTGGCAGGAAGCCAGTAATATATGCTGTGCCTGGCACATTCTTTGTCGTGTGCATCGGTTATGGTTTTTGGTTATTTTCTTTAGCTGTATGGTCCCAGAACACTCTTTTCAGAGTGCCTGGAAAACGCTACTCAGTTGCTGCTGGATCCACTGCGCCTTTTATTGCCACTGGCTCCTCAGATGAAAAGCTTGACTGAAGGTTGTTTAGAGTCTGATCAGGGACAGAAGTTTCATATAGAGATGGGGTGTGGGATTTGATCCTAATAACAGTGATGATAATTTTCATCAGTTTTTGGCTGTAATCGTAATCGCTGTAATAGTAGTAAGAATTGAAGTAATCTTATTGGATGATCTCTGCATACAGCTTAATGGTGCAATAGTGTGTTGTACCTGCAGGCTGCCACCTGCTGCCTGGAGGGCTTAAGTTCCGTAAGAGAGGCTGTGATAAGGTGGGAGGGGATGGGGGTGGTGTGGGGCTCTCAGCCAATCACAGCCTTGCTTTGGGGCTTTGGTTTTGAGGTGAGGGCAGTGAAGGCAAAGTGCAGCACACATGCACACGGACACACATGATGGTTTCTGGTGAGGTTCCTGTAATTGAGTGAGAAGATAAAGACGTGATAGCTGGCCTTAATTGAACCCCTGGGAGATTCCGACACAGGCCTCATTTTCTGCTCCGGATGTTGTCATTTTGAGATGGGGAGGGGTAGGGTTGGTGGGGTGGTGTGAAAAACAGAGGCGCAGATTTATGCACACCACACCTGTAAAGGCGCCGTTAAAGTTGTGAAGGGTAACTGAACACCTTACACCCCCCCCCCCAATTCTGATCCATTATTCAGTAAAAGGGTCTTGGGACGGGCACTTGAAGATCTTTATCACAGAAACTGGTCCCTGCTTTGCTGAGTGTTGCATCCCTTTGCTTTTCAATGCCATATAGCGGGTAGTATGTTGAAATTGGTGTCTTGAGTATGTTTATGGGGGAGGGAGCTAATGAGGCCTTTTCCCATGCAGTATCGGATGCGGACAGCACTGACGGCTTGCAGCTGAAGAGGGAGCATGCCCTGCGGGTCTTCAGCTACATCAGCTCATGGACCCAGAGGTCAGAGTTCCTCCTCCTTCTTCTCCCTCCTTGTTCTGCGTGCAGTCCGGTGCGTCACCAACCTGTCTGCTCCCTGTCCGCAGGCAGTGCCTGTGTTGCTTTAAGGAGTACAAGCACCTGGAGGTCTTCAACCAGCTAGTGTACGGCCTCATCAACCTGGTGATCGCCCAGGTGCAGGCGCTGCGCGACCAGCTGTGTCGAGGACGAGATGGCGGGGAGCCGGCGGCAGCACCAGGGGCTGGCTGGGGCGGGGAGCGGCCGTCACCGGCAGATGATGAGCCCCTCAATGTGGAGCGGGACTCGGCTGAGGAGGATGCCGGCGCCGAGATGGGCGGGCCAGAAGCAGGCCCGGCTTCTGGGCAGGGCCTGGGACTGCGGGGCGAGCAGGACCCCCCCGGGCCAGGCGAGGGCACCGCTGCGGACGGCCCGGACCTGCTCGGGTCCTGGAGCACCGAGGACAGAGAGAAGCTGCTCCTCTGTGCCGCCAAGATATTCCAGATCCAGTTCCCACTGTACACAGCCTACAAACACAACACTCACCCTACTATAGAGGTAGGCCCCTGCCTCAGTGCCGCCCTGTGGGCCGCCGCGATCGATCGCATGTAGACAGACCTCTCCGTTTACAGGGAGCGCTGCCCCAGCCTGCCCCCATTACTGTCCTGTCCATTGTTCCGTCTCTCCTAACGCCAAATATCATACTGCTACGAAGCCAAACGATATGATTTTTTTGAAGCTATCTGCTTAATTGCAGCTCCTTAGGGAGTCCCAGATAGAGCCGTCTGTGAGGCGTCTGGGGGATCTCGCTCGCTTTAGGCCGCCTCTGCTCCCTGTGACGTGCCGTCACGCTTAATTGCTCGCGTGCTGTTCTCTGCGCCACGTGGCAAACGCGTGTTCCCCCGGAAACTTCCACCACCAGACTTGTATTCCCCACGTCCCCTGGCCAGTCAGGGTGTTTCATCCACATCATGGAGCACACTGGGGTGTGAGGGTGCGGGTTTAAGGTCGTCCTGTACGTTAACGATCTGCGTTTAGTGCCCGTAATGGGCTTTACGGCAGATAGGGAAGCTAATAGCAGGCATTAATTTGTACTTTTCCAGCGGACAGGCCTCGTGATCAAAGCCAGAGGGGGTCCGTTACGTGTGAGTGGAGGTGGGCGTCTGATCGCTTCTCGCCCTCATATCTCATGTAGGATGGTACTGGTTCCCAGCCTAGAGCTCTGGTCTCGCTCCAGGTCCGCAGATGCGTGTAATAAAATAAGCAAGTGCACTCGACTTCCATAACTACGTTACCTTGTAATTATTTTGTTTTATTGCATAGCCCGCAGCTGCTCCCATGCGGAAACTTGTTTCGTTCTCTCGCTAAATCGGTATTCGATGTGAGCTGGAGTTGGCAGCGGCTCTGCTGGCTGCTCCTAGCGGGCCTGCGGGTGGCTGGACAACAGTATTCCAGCCAGGAGCTCCTGAGAGAGCCGATAAGTGTGTGTGGGGGGGGGGGGGGGGGGGGCGGAGCCTCTTTGAACGATGGTGATAAACCTTATCATGGCACCTTCAGCACTAATTTCCAAAGCACTAATCAAATATTCTCGTCTTGTATAACTTTATACTAATTTATCCACACACTGTGTGACCATCTCTTCTTCATTCCTCGTTCGGCGGTGTTTCGTATTTCTCCGCCTCCTCTCTAACCTTCTTGGCTCTCGACTCGCCTTGCGTCACGTCGTTTTCGTCCATAGTAAAAATAAATGATCTGAGTTAATACGGCCAATCTCTGTAAAACGCCTGTCCAGATAAATATGAAAGCTACGCATCTTGCTGGATTAATTTCTGACATACAGCCCTGCATGACAAATGTTACCGCATATTTGCTTCTTTATGGGCTACAAATGAAACGGATTGGAGGTTATTTAGCTATGATGCCGGTGCACAGCCCTCGCTGACCCCCACATGGCGCACATGGGATGGCCGCTTTTAGGCCGTCGTGTCGCGGGCGGCGGGGTCTGCTGTACCCTGACAAGTTTGCACCACTGTGATTATTGATTCTTCCTCTCATTTCGCAGGACATCTCGGCCCAGGAAAGCAATATACTAGGATCTTTCTGCGATATGAACGTAAGTTCTCATGCGTGGGGGCCATCGCTGGGGAACCTCCTGTCCGGTCCATCGGGGTCTTTAGCTTGTGCTGGTCCCAGTGTCGTTCAGCTGACACCTTTTAATTCAGGGCACTTAGGATTTTATTGGTTAATTGCTTGTCTGGTGCACTTCTGCACTGGTAAAGGTGCCCGGAGCGGATTTACGGCCCCTTCTAAGACGGTAACACGACCCCCCCCCCCCGGTCACCAGCAGGCTGTCCAGCTGCTATTGTGAAAAAAGGATGGCCAGGCCTGCAGGAAGCACATTTGGGATTTAGACCCAGAAATACAATAGTGTGTCATTCACCCAAAAGAAGGCAAATTCACGCAGTCCCCCAAGGCACGTGTCGGAAATGTAATTGTCAAATATACAGGCAATCGGCATAAAGGCTTCACCAAGCTGAAGGTGTAATTACTCACTTTCAGGACCATGACAGTCATTTCTGCAGTTTGCTGTGTCAGCGTGTTTGGCGCTGGACGACTTTGTGTACTGTGAACTAACCAGCTCTGTCCTGGACACAGTCCTGTTTTCATGAAATATGAATAGAGGTTTGAAAGCGCTCTGACACAAACCGAGATGACGGGCGTGAGCCGGCGGACATTCTGAGCGAGTGCTTCTTAAGCCGCATTCTGCTGAGAGCAGCGCACGGCTTCGGCGTCTCTGCACGGCACAGCCGAGCCGTGACGAGGCTTAACGAGGCCGCAGCTGTCCATCCACGCCGAATCGGGCTCCCCCCACTTTTCATTTTCTCTCTTTCCGTTTCATTTTGTCAGTTGATGTCTGACCCTCTTCCCGCCCCCCCCCCCCCGGGCGTACAGGATGTGGAAGTCCCGCTGCACCTGCTCCGATACGTCTGCCTGTTCTGCGGGAAGCACGGCCTCTCTCTCATGAAGGACTGCTTCCAGTTCGGCACCCCGGAGTCTCTGCCTTTCCCCATAGCACACGCCTTCATCACCATCGTCTCTAACGTAAGCGCTTCCCGCCGGGCTCGGCGCCCTCCAGTCCGGTGGCGGCATTCCCTGTCTCATCGGCGTTCCCGTCTCGCCCCACAGATCAGGATATGGCTGCACATCCCTGCCGTCATGCAGCACATCATTCCTTTCCGCACACACGTGATCAGGTAAGCGGCGGGTATCCGCATCGTTTGTGCCGTTTCTGGCAAGTAACGTTGGTCTGCAGTGTGACGGAGCAGTGTTACTGTGTTGGGAGTGGAAATGAGGGCTGTTCTGCTCTGATTTGGACTGATGGTGTTGATAGGGTCTTTCTGCAGTACTTGTGTTTTGATGTGTCCTTTACTGCATACTTTGGGTTGCTAGGAAGAGCATCCCTCACCATGGTAACTATCGCCGCTCTCCTCACATGACCTTGGCGGAGCCGGCGGCGATGTGGTCCCCGTCACGTGATCGGGGGGCAGGATTAGCCGAGTTGCTGTGCCAGCTCTCTCTTCGTAAATAGCTTTGATACCTTTGTGTGCTACCGTCACACATTTTTCTTTTAATATCCGTTTTAACTCATTCCAATCAGCCGATATGCTTTTCTTTTTTAGAATTCATGTCCTGGGTCCCCCCTCCCCCTTCTTTGTTTAAATCCTCAAACTAAACCGTTTACATCTTCACACATTTTCTTTCCTTAACTTTAAATATTTTTTGCAATTCCTGAAACCGTGTACATACACATGCGTGACTGTTATGTAATTTTCCTGGTAATGTGTGAAATCCTGAGCAGTCCAATCTTTAACGCAAAGAGATGTAACAGCGAGTATCCATGCCGTGGGATGTAACGGAGCGAGCGTCCGGGCCGCCAGTGCTGGGATGTTACGGAGCGAGCGTCCGGGCCGCCAGTGGTGGGATGTGACGGAGCGAGGGCCCGGGCCCCCAGTGCTGGGATGTTACGGAGCGAGCGTCCGGGCCGCCAGTGGTGGGATGTGACGGAGCGAGCGTCCGGGCCGCCAGTGGTGGGATGTGACGGAGCGAGTGATTCTGATTACTTGAAAACTACCCATGACCAAAAAGTGCAACTTCCCTGAAGTCTGCGCCCCAAATAACTGATGCTTCGGGGGAGATCAGCCTCAGCCTGACAGTCCGGGAACGGTCTGAAGTTTCCCATCGTGAAGAAGAGCCCTTTTTACTCCCTCCTAATTACAGTGCTGAGAGCCGCAAGTGAAACACACTGACAGAAGGCGATCGGAAATAAACGAGGTGAAAAATAACCTCATGTGATATGCAGTGTGCAGTTTTAACTCTAAATAGCCTTCCCAGAGAAAGTGGGGCGCAAATGTTTGATGGTGACGTCAGTGGCCCGGTGCTCACGAGGCGAGTTCTGTACAGCTTCCTCTGAAATACTCTGGTAATCCACTCAATATCAGGCTACAGTTACAGGTCATATCATTTAATGGAGAAAATGCTGAAATTATATTAATGTTCCACGTTAGAATGTTTACATCAGGTAATGAATATATTTATTAAATATATTGAGGATTACAGCACTTTAGCCAGTGCTTAAATGGTGATTTTGTTTTGACCCTGTGATCCTGGGAGCATCACGATTCCATGTGGGAACCACGCGTGCACCAACGGCACTCCGTATCCCGCCAGGTACCTGTGCAAGCTGTCGGACCAGGAGCTGCGGCAGAGCGCGGCGCGCAACATGGCGGACCTGATGTGGAGCACGGTGAAGGAGCCGCTGGACAGCACGCTCTGCTTCGATAAGGAGAGCCTCGACCTGGCCTTCAAGTACTTCATGTCCCCGACGCTGACCATGCGGCTGGCGGGGCTCAGCCAGATCACGGTGAGCCCTGGCCGGGGGGGGGGGGGCGCACTCACCACTCGCTCCAGCTGTTGTTTGGGCTGGACCCTTTATGGATGCATCTGAAAGTTGGGTGTATGTTAAGTGTGTCGCTCATTTACACGCTTTTTTTCCGTTTTGTGCTAGAATCAGCTTCACACCTTTAACGATGTCTGCAATAACGAGTCCCTGGTATCGGATACGGAAACGTAAGTGTGAGCGCCGTTTCCACAATTTACTCATGCTGGTGCGTGGCCGTGCCGGACCCAGGTTGGTAGAGGTTGGGGTGAACGTGCGAAATGTCCCTGCAGGTCTATAGCGAAGGAGCTGGCCGATTGGCTGATCACCAACAATGTGGTGGAGCACATCTTTGGACCAAACCTGCACATCGAGGTGAGGCTGGGGCACCAGTAGCCACGGGAATCCAGTGTGGGGGTCGGCTGGCCACACTCAAGCTGAGCTCCGCTCTTCTCTTCCCAGATCATCAAGCAGTGTCAAGTCATCCTCAACTTCCTGGCCGCAGAGGGCAGGCTGAGTACACAGCACGTGGACTGCATCTGGGCCGCCGCACAGGTAGGGGGCGCTAGTGAGTCTGCACCCCAGGTGTGCAGCCCATAATTCTGGTACTGAGCTGCCGAGCAATAGTAGTGTTTGGGGAAACGCAGCTACTGATCGCCCCATTCCCTATGTCGCCCCCTAGCTGAAGCACTGCAGCCGGTACATCCACGACTTGTTCCCCTCCCTCATCAAGAACCTGGATCCCGTTCCACTGAGGCATGTGCTCAACCTGGTGTCCAGCCTGCACCCCAGCGCTCACACTGAGCAGGTGGGTCTCACACGCGATGTACGCAGGGACCTGAGAACAGCGCCCCCTTAAGGCCAGATGATAGTGAGCAGTTTACTTTTTGGAAGACGCAGATTAGCGTGATTGCCGGGATTCTCCCCCCAGGTTAACACAAACAACTGTGACTTTGTGCCTGTAGAGATGGATGTATTGGCAGGTAGCACAAACTGATATGTGTCCCCCCCCCTCCCCCAGACGCTGTACCTGGCCTCCATGTTGATCAAGGCTCTGTGGAACAATGCGCTGGCCGCCAAGGCTCAACTCTCCAAGCAGAGCTCCTTCGCCTCTCTGCTGAACACCAACATCCCCATGGGCAAGAAGAAAGGTACGTCTTCTGACCCGGTTCTCTCCCCGTGTCGCCCCGTCCGCCTTGCACCATGTGCCGTAACGCCATTCCTCCGACTGCCACAGGCTCGCCGGCCGCCAGCCCGGAGAGCAGTGACAACAGCGACACCCACCACAGCGGAGGAAGTGACATTGAGATGGACGAGCAGATCATGAATAGCAGCAAGCACGGGCAGCAGAGGCTGTCCGACACAGAGGTGCGTGCGACTATGCAGGGCGAGCTTCGACCCGTACTGGTGCCAGTGGGAGTTCTACCATCACCTGTCCGCTTTCTGTCTGCTAGGAGTCGATGCAGGGCAGCTCCGACGAGACGGCAAACAGCGGCGAGGACGGCAGCAGCGGCCCGGGCAGCAGCAGTGGACGCAGTGAGGCCTCCAGCAATGAGGCGGGCTCAAGCCGCGCCAGCCAATCGGCCGGCAGCCCCGGCAGCGAGCTGCATTCCGACGACATGGCGGACAGCGAGGCGCTGAAGGAGGAGGAGGAGGAGGAGGAAGATGAGGAGGAAGAGGAGGAGGAGGAGGAAGATGAGGAGGATGAGGAAGAGGAGGAGGAAGAGGAGGAGGAAGATGAGGATGAGGAGGAGGTGGAGAACCCGGCGGTGGCCGGGGGCAGCCCACAGAACGAGACGTGTGACCCAGCGGAGCTGAGGAAGAGGAAGGCTGTGGAAGCGCAGCCGCAGGCGGGCCTGTGCCTGGCGGAGCGGGAGGTCTCGCTGGATCAGGGTGGCGGTTCCGGCAGCAGCGGCGGGCCCAACGCCAAAGGCCTGCCCTTCACCCCTGAAGCAGCGGCCGCCATGGTAACCGCATCCTCGGCAGCCGTGGAGACGCACATGCGGATGCTGGATGCCTGCTCATCCTCCGCCCGTCCCGAGGCTGCCGAACACGAGCTGCCGGGCGATATGGGCCCCTCACACATGCCCCCCGGGCCCCAGGACCCTGCCTGCCTGCCCCGGTCAGGGGACTTCCTGACTGACGCCATGGGCAACGAGCTCTTCAACTGCCGGCGCTTCATGGGACCCCAGCACCACCATCATCACCATCCACACCACCATCACCACCACCCACACCACCACCACCATGAGGGGTGTGTCTCCCTCGGCCTCGACTGCCCCGCCTTCCGCTTTTAGCTCTGACTCATGTACCCAATTTACAGGGTTGTTTTCTAGTGATAAAAATTTACACGTGGAGCATAAACAATAGATTGCAGAAATCTCCAGAATCTGCTTCTCTCTTAAATCATGTAGGTTTACCTCAGGGGACATTTGGGAAAAATGTCTGATTTAAGGGTTGTTAATAATTTAATGACTTTGAGTGAATTAGGTATAAACCCTGTAAAGACCTTTAATATTCAAAGGATCTGCAGATATGCTAAGTACTGAGGAGGTAGTTGGCCAGTTAAACCATCCAGCAGCCTGGGTGGATGTTCTCCGCTGACGCGAGGTCGCACTGCCCCATGCAGGCACATGGTGGAGGACATGCTGAGCGCCGACGACGTGAGCTGCAGCAGCTCTCAGATCAGCGCCAAGTCCGAGAAGAACATGGCCGACTTTGACGGCGAGGAGTCGGGCTGTGAGGAGGAGCTCGTCCAGATCAACTCGCACGCGGAGCTCACGTCGCACCTTCAGCAACACCTGCCCAACCTGGCCTCCATCTACCATGAGCACCTGTCGCAGGGTGAGTGCTTCACGCGGTAGCTCCCCCTACCCACCCCCCATCTCCATTTTTGGCCCCTACAGGAACAGGCCAAAGGAACAGGCCAGTTGATGTGACTCGTTGAACTGAAGAGTTGGATGATTTCATATATAGAAATGGTATTTGAGCAAATTCCCAAAACCTCACTCAGTTCATTGGATGCATTTTTGAGAATTTCCATGGACTTTTGGAAGTGAGTTTTGGAAATTTTATAGAAAGTACTTGGATTACATTAGTTTTGGTTCCCAGTTCTGTACATAGGAGGAAATTTTGCTTTTTGGTCACTCCCTGCTGACATTGAAGAACATGTTGTTGGTATTGTTATCAATATTATTATTATTATTATTATTATTATTATTTGGTATGTTGTAATGTTTTAGAAGGCTTTTGGTTAAACTGATTGTTTAAAGCAGGGGTGGGGAACCAGTTCCATGGAGAGCCGGTGCGGGTTTTTGGGATGGCCTCTCCATCAGCCAATAATTAAGCAGTGGTTCTCAACTCCAATCCTGGAGACCGACTGTTATTGGCTGATTGAGAGGCCATCCCAAAAACCCGCACCCACACTGGCCCTCCATGGATCAGGTTCCCCACCCCTGGTTTAAAGGAACAGGCCAAGCTTCACAAGCGTCCGTCCATCCGTCTGTCTGACCCACTCTGACCAACTCCACAGGTCCAGTAGTCCATAAGCACCAGTACTCTGGGCATGCGGTGACTGACATCAACCTGGACAACGTATGCAAGAAGGGAAACACGCTGCTCTGGGACCTGGTGCAGGATGAGGATGCGGTGAGGCCAGAGAGAGACACACACACACACACACACACAGTGGTCAGAATGGAATTAATTTTAATCAGTGATGTGGGACACAATGTGATCACTATGCTGATGTCATCCCCCCCCCCCACCATAATCGACTCCGGCTGCTCTAACCCAAAGCAAACACACCCACTTATCTACTGTGGTTTAATAGTCCAAGTGTCTCAGGCTGGGCCAGTCAGGAGTTCCGAGATGAAAGTGTGTCTGGTGCTTTGTTGGTCGTCCTCATCGTGGCTGTTTGCAGTTTGGAGGCCTTTCTCTGCCCCGCTTGATTAATCTTAGCAGTAGTACGTCGTACTTCCACTTGTCTGTTTTCGGCGTGCCTCTGGTGGTCTCTGGGCCTCACGGCACCCCGAGGCTCTGTGAGAAATAGCCTCTCTGCTGCCTCCCCGACGCTAGATCCACCTGTCCGAGGGCCTGATCAGCGAGGCGGAGAAGCTGCTCTGCTCCCTGGTGTGCTGGTTCACCGACCGGCAGATCCGCATGCGCTTTATTGAGGGATGCCTCGACAACCTGGCCCACCACCGGTGAGCATGTTTGCGGGTGGGGGGGGGCGGAGCCCCAGTACGGCAGTGTCGGGAGATTCGTCTCGAATGCGGTCTGACCCCGTGCCTGCTCCTCTTTACAGGTCTGTGGTGGTCTCTCTGCGTCTCCTCCCCAAACTCTTCGGAACCTTCCAGCAGTTCGGCAGCAGTTATGATACTCACTGGATAACCATGTAAGCTGCCCCTCAGTCAGAAACGGCCACGGTCTGTATCGAACTTTGCACCAGGTGTCGTGTGGGACATCGTAGGCTCACGCTTTTCCGAGTGACAGATGGCCACATGCGTGGGCCCCGCACGTCAGAGCACTTAATGCTATCAGGTTAACGCACACTATTGCTAAGGTTAAACCGGAGGCAGTTTTGGAGTTTTTAACTAAAGCCAGTGCTAAGTACGCTATTTAAGGGTTGCTCATTATATCCTATATAGGATCTTATTTGTAGGTAATCATTATTGCTGTCTGTATTTTAAGGTTTTAGCTTCTTGGGTTTTTGTAAAATTTTTAAATAATCATTAACTTTGATATGTATCCTAGGTTTCGTCATGAATGCAGTACTAGCTGCTTACGTGGCGTGATTATTTCTCTTGAGCTTCCTTCCTGCCGAAACCTCGTCTGCGTCTCGCCCTTCTAGGTGGGCTGAGAAGGAGCTGCACATGATGAAGCTCTTCTTCGAGAACCTGCTGCACTACATCCAGGAAGTGCGGGAACGGCGTCACAAATTCGCCCTGTAAGTTCTCCCCTGGGTCCGCCGGGCCTGCGAGGTCGTCGTGGGGTCACCGCCTGCACGATGGCGGGGGCTGATTGGACGGCATGCAGTACTGCTACTGAGAAACCCGTCTGGCACGTTCTCTGTCCGCAGGTACGGACACAGCGCCGAGGTGCAGGTGCGTCTGCAGTTCCTCACCTGTGTCTTCTCCACCCTGGGCTCACCCGACCACTTCAGTGAGTTTTGTTCTCATCAGTACTTAAAATAGTCACACTCTGCTCTTTCTGCTTGTGTTGCTTTCTTGTGAAACAAGACCAAGATGGCAGAATGTTGATGTGTTAACCTCCTGCTTTTAGATGCCTGATGTAGGGTTCTGTGTTGGGGGTGGGTGGGCTGAAGCGAACCTTGAATCCTTCGAGGTGTAAATATGGTGTAAAGTTGGGAACATGGTGTAACCAGAGCTAGAGTGGGCCAGGTGTAATGGTGGAGGAAACTGATTTAGACCGAGTGACTGTAGACTCAAACCCCAGGAGAGGAACCATTAAACCTTTGGGAAAACGGGCTTGAAGATGAGTTGCTTTTGATAAAAGCAGCTGCAAAGCACTTAATGTGATTAAGAGAAGCTGCGGATGGTGTGGCTGGTAGAAGCTGTGAATGAAGTCGAGAGTGTTTGTTAACCTGGTAACCGTGAGCTGGAGTAGATGGACAGATCTCCTGCGTGCCTGAATTGGCCGAGTGTGTTTCAGAGTAGTCGTTCTGGGGGCAGGTCGGTTCCCAGGACACTGTGACTCGTCGGTGATTGTGGCTGATTGTTGCTGGCGTGGCCCAAGCGTGTAACCCGATGAGGTCCGGCCGAACACTGAGAAATTGTGCTCCCGAGTCTGAATGGGGAACCCGATCGGCTCCCTGCTCCCTGCTCGGCCTCGTTCGGCGTGGGGGGCCGCACCTCGCCAGATGCTCTCTTTGCCTCTTTTGTAATCAGGCTTTTGGGCAGGTTTTCTCAGTGGGACTCGGGTTTCAGAGGAACGCCATGGCAACGCTCTGAGTAGGGGGTGTTTTCAGGCACCTCCATGGCGCTGCGATCGGGGGCGAGCGGGGGGGGACCACTGAAAACGGTGTGGTGACATTTCACCCAATAGGCGTAAAACCTCACGGTGCACTTTATCACAGAGGTTTGCTGATTTAACCTTATTAAAATATAACTGAAGATTTCTACAAATCTGTCACTGGGTGTGGATTTCATGGGATGTTTCATGCACGCGGGGTGTAAATACTCAAAGCCATATTAAGTATTTATGCTGATGTGTACAGAAGTGTTGTTTCTATCCTTAGCCCTTTGTTCTGTTTCACTCCCCCTCCGTCCCTCTTCTTCCGGCCGCCAGGGCTGAGTCTGGAGCAGGTAGACATCCTGTGGCACTGCCTCGTGGAGGACTCGGAGTGCTACGACGACGCCTTGCATTGGTTCCTCAACCAGGTGCGCAGCAAAGACCAGCACGCAATGGGCATGGAGACCTACAAACACCTGTTCCTGGAGAAGGTGAGTAGTCGCCCATCTGAGTCTCGGACGCACTGGGGGGGTCAGCTCATCACCCGGAACTGCGTCGCTCTCCTTAGATGCCCCAGCTGAAGCCGGAGACCATCAGCATGACGGGCCTCAACCTCTTCCAGCACCTGTGCAACCTGGCACGTCTGGCCACAAGCGCCTACGACAGCGGCTCCAACTGCGAGGTTGGGCCTCGCCTATTTCTGCTCTGACTCCTGATGTAGTTCCAGGATCAGCTCTGTGTAGCTGATATCAATCTGTAGATTATCAGATCTTAGGCAGCGCGCTTGACCCATTCCTTGGTGTCCTTGTGAGACCCTTGTCCTCTGCTTCCCCTCAGCTGTGTGGTATGGACCAGCTGTGGGGTATTGCCCTGAGAGCCCAGTCCGCTGACATCAGCCGTGCAGCCATCCAGTACATCAACTCCTACTACATCAACGGTGGGTGCTGCCTAACCTAGCTTCACCTGTCCTTTGATCATCTGCTAGCTGAATGAGAGACCGCTCTTTTGCAGAGATGGTTAAGGTTGAGTGACAGTCAGTGATCAGTGTACTTGCTGAGGAAACTACCTCGGACTTTTTACTGATCTCATATTTACCCAAGGAAGGTTGTGAACTTTCCCCCCATTGTCATCGAAAAAGAGGGAAGCTTTGTTAGTGGTTCCCTCATGCGACTTCTTCACGGCGGGCAATGTGAGGAAGCTGGCGCGATACTTCCTCCTCCTCACATATAGCACACTGACTGTAGGAAGTCAAACTGAGAACTGCAGCACTGTTAATGTACCATGCATCCATGCGGAGGCGCATGCGGTGTCATGTGGGCGGGGCCTTTACGCATTCTTGTTTTTGCCGTCCAGGTAAAACCGGTCTGGAGAAGGAGCAGGAGTTCATCAGTAAGTGTATGGAGAGTCTTATGATGGCCTCGGGGAACCTTGAGAAGGACCCACACTCCAGCCTCACAATCATCGAGAGGGGGCTTCTCATGCTGAAGACTCATCTGGAGGCGTTCAGGCGTCGGTATGCCTGTGGGGGATGGGGGGTGGGGGAGGCCATTTCATAACCTACTCCTTGGGGACCCTCAGACAGTCTTTGTTTTTGCGCCCTTCCAGCCAGACAGTCCTCCTTTTTGCTCCCTCCCAGCTTCTAGGAGCAAAAATTTGGACTGTCTAAGGCAGAGGTGCCCAATACGTCAATCACGATCTACTGGTCGATCGCAAAGGTAGAGTGGGTAGATCTTATGGCATAAAAAAATGGAGGATGGATGACGCGTTCAACCGCGCCAGCTGCTGCAAAACTCTAGAAAGCTACCGAGTCGCCTAGTTAGTCTCCAATTTATTTCTACTAAACTTGAGTTTTTTTCCCAAAGTGTGTTTGCCTCATCTGTCAGTCTATTGCTATTCCAAAGAATGGAAATGTGGAGCGGCATTTTCGGACTATTCATAAAAACTACGACATTAACGAGAAAGAGAACAGTGAAGGAACTAAAATCCCAATTCAATTCAAAAATACTTTTTTATTCCAAAGGGAAATGAATAATAATAATAATAATAATAATAATAATAGCAACAACAATAATAATAAAAAAATTATAAAGAATACTCAATAATTTTTTCCATAAATATGTTTTGCATTTTTATAGTAGGTAGATCATTTTGACTTTATAAGTAGCTCGCAAACTGAAAAAGTGTGGGCACCCCTGGTCTAAGGCTTCTGAGGACCCGGTTAGGAAACATTGCAGAAGATGATTAGGTTCTAACAGCCTTGATTTTATCAGTCAGTAGTGTTTTGACAGCTTTTTGCACGAGTTTTGTGTTAATTTATTACTTTGTTTTGGCACTTCAGCCAAAAGTTTATAATCAATTTTAGCTTTCCTACAAACACAGAAATTTGTCAAAACCAATTAACAAGTAGAAATAGGTCAATCTACAGTGAGAAGAAGAGCACAGTCTGGTTGCGGGGTTCAGCAATCGGTGATGCATGCGGATCGTGGCTTTTTTACCTGCCTATGTTGTACCTATTCCGCTGTATAAGTGGTTATCGGGAAATGTAAACATTCCCAGTTGAACGAGCTGCTATGAGTAATGGCTTCAGGGTCCTTGCAGGCCTGTGGCCTTTGCATGCCCCAAGCCAAACCCCAACGTGTCATTGGCTCACGTCACGACGCCGGTGCCAAACCCCGGCATCTTATTTGCTTGCAGGTTTGCCTATCATCTGCGGCAGTGGCAGATCGAGGGGACGGGCATCAGCAGCCATCTGAAGGCCCTGAGCGACAAGCAGTCGCTGCCCCTGAGGATCGTGTGTCAGCCCGCAGGCCTCCCTGACAAGGTAGCGGTGGCAAGAGCAGCCATGATGCTCGAAGATGGGCAGCTGTTTTAGGATGCACTGCGGACGCTCGCCTTTCACGAGTGACTGGTGTTCATGTCTGTCCCCGTCTCTCGCTCCCTCTGTCTCCCCCACCCGATCCCTGTGGGCAGATGACAATCGAGATGTACCCCAGCGACCAGGTGGCGGACTTGCGGGCAGAGGTGACGCACTGGTATGAGAACCTGCAGAAGGAGCAGATGAATCAGCAGGCGCAGCTGCAGGAGTTCGGCCAGAGCAGCCGGCAAGGAGACTTCCCAGGTCAGAGAAGGGGGAGCGCCTTCCGCTCTCACGGGCACACCGTGGATTCTGTGACCCCTCTATGCTGGGTTTGGCAGGGTGGACGGATTTGCTGAGCAGAAACGTGCAGTGATCTTCCCCCAGGGTGGGTTCCATGCAGCTATTATGGAGTCGCCTTTTTTAAGCTTTACTTCTTAGAGTTATGCCCTGAGGCCGAGCTGAGGGCCGATGGGTTCTCCGGGTTGTTCCTGATGCCCTTCACTGGCGTCCCAGCATCTTCCTGAAATGCCAGGGCCTCCTCTGCTCTTAATGTGCCTTAAATCATACCCGTGCTGCGTGATATATTGGGTAACTTTAGATTAGTGCCTTTTTTTATGTAGGGAGACAAGAAGGATGGGCAGGGCTGTCCCCGCTAGCCCCCACCATGATATCTCTGCCCCCCTTATATGTGATAAAGATTAGTTGTTTATCTCTGAGGAATAGGGTTGCAAAATTCTGTGAATTTTCCTATTAATTCTCATATATTCCAGTTAATTCCCCTGGAAAGTTTCCAACTTGGGATATATCCAAAATTTCCCAGCTTAACTCCCCACGGAATGGAAAGTTTCTGGAATGTTTCCATAAATTTTCTGCCCCTTTCGCGACCCAGCTGCCCCTCGTGGCTCTGAAGAGCTGCTGAATGAGCAATGTGTCGGGTTCTGCCGCAGGTGGCCTGATGGGGCCGGTCCGGATGATCTCCTCGGGCCACGAGCTGACCACGGACTACGACGAGAAAACGCTTCACGAGCTGGGCTTCAAAGACATGCAGGTAGCTTCCCGCCCACACCATGCAGCATGCATTCATAGCGTGATTCTGAGCCGATGGAGTGTTGTGCAGATAGGAAGGCCGACGGCCTCAAGCAACGTTGTCACTGCATACAGTGAAATACAAGAGTGAGCGCTACTACTAGGCCTGTGTTTCCTATCAGGGTTCGAGTGGGAATGAGCTGGGCTTTAGAAACACTTTAATAGTCAGCCTCTACCCCACCCTTTCCAAAACAGTGTATCAAAAACTGCTGTTGGTACAATTTTAGGGAACTGGAATTAGTCTGGTCAGGTAACTGGAAATCTGTGCTCGGTCTTGCAGATGGTGTTCGTGTCACTGGGCGCCCCGCGGCGCGAGCGCAAAGGCGAGGGGGTGCAGCTGCCGGCCTCCTGCCTCCCGCCCCCCCAGAAAGAGAACATCCCTATGCTGCTGCTGCTCCAGGAGCCCCACCTCACCATGCTCTTCGACCTGCTGGAGATGCTGGCCTGCTTCAAGCCCCCCAGCACCGAGCGGGCCTTGGAGAGCGCCCAGGTGCGTCCGGGGTCGGCCCCCCTGGGCCTCGTCACCGTGGTCACACTTAATTATGTCACCTCATATTTGTGATCTTTACACATTAGTGACAAGACTTTGTTTAAAATGAAGTCTACACTAGTGGCCAAAATTGTGGAAACACTTCAAGTTGATAGAGTACAATTGTCCAGTGTATATTTGTAAACATTCTTTGATTGTTGATAAACATTACTGCCAATACTCCTGTAGTAATCTTTAAAGAGTGCTGCCAAAAATGCTTGGTTTCACACAGTTTTGGCCGCTGGTCTGCGTAATCGCGTGGCCTAGAGCCCGTAAATGCTAGCAGCACCGGAGTATTTAAGAAGCTCATGATTAGAGCCTCGTTTCCACCAACCCGGTGCTGGTGCTGGACTTTTTCCCCAATCTGGCACTGGTTCCACACATTTCCACCACAAAAAAATGGCCCTGGGCCAGAAAAACGGCTTCAGCACGGCACCACAGAAAAGCTGGGCTCAAAATGTGGCACCGTAATGTCAGTGAATGTGGAACGGGCTATGGCATCCAAATATTCCGTTATACCTGAATATTCAACCCATAACTGATATAGTTAGTCTAATAATGACGGTGCTGGCAGTGAAACACGTTTTTAGTATTACTGCACGATCCTTAAAATGACAGCAGTAAAACAGCAAGCGAGAATAACACATACAGTCGTGGGAGCCTTTATGGAGACAAAACGTCGTAAGGTAGCTTGCAACTGTATGGATTTCCGAAAAGATATTTAACGTAAAATATTAACTTGCACTAAAACACTTGTATAAGCGTTACATAGTTTTTTTTATTCTGTGAAAAATGAAAGATTGATCTGCGGACCAGATTTAAATAATAAAGTATAAATATGTCACAAGTTGAATAAATAAAATGGCTATGAGATCATGAGCCGGACTGCAAAGTTTAGTTATTAGATTAACCTTTACTTTCACTTCCACCTAGATAACATTTCTGTTCTGTTCTTTTTTTTAAATTGGTGTAAACTCAGGCTGGTTCTCAAAAGGCAGAACCGGCACCAGCTCTGTGTTGGTGGAAACGAGGCATAGATGGATTTAACAGCTGTGCCAAGCTTTGAAAGCTAATTTTCCTCCGTGGCTGACATTCTGTAATAGTTTCGGTCAAAGTCGTGTATCTGCTGTCTTCACGCAGTGCCTATACCACTGTCGATGTGAGCTGGGCGCTGTCTCTGGCCTGTCTCGTCTGGCTCTGACCCGCCCTCATGTGCATGCAGGGTGCCCGCTGCGAGGAGCTACACCTCCACGCGGAGAACCTGTCCCGGCGCGTGTGGGAGCTCCTCATGCTGCTGCCCACCTGCCCCAACATGCTGCTGGCCTTCCAGAACATCTCTGAGGAGACGGTCAGTCCTTCCATCCATTCCCATCCCTCTGCGGTGTCTCCTGGCCCTGTCGTCATGGTAACCGTTCACTGACTGTCCATTAAAAGTTTTTCCCCTAAATTGGTACATCTCATTTTGGTACACCAGTAAATTTTTGAGAACCTTTCCCAGAGATTCTTCTGCACAGTCTCTCCTGGGACTCGGGCTGACATTTAGATTCTGGAACTGGCTTTAAAATTGGCTTTTAAAGCGCCCCTCTGCTCCCCGCTAAAGCTGCTGTCGAATCTCCGTTCTGTACACTTCCTTCAGGGGGCTGAGGGTCTCTGCTGGAAGGATCTGCTGAGGATTAAGAGCCCCCACAAGCTGCTGTACGCGCTGGAGATCATCGAGGCTCTGGGGAAGCCCAACCGGCGTATCCGTAGGGAGTCCACGGTAATGCGGCTTCTGCAGGCCCATCGCTGGCAAACTCATGGAAACGTCTGCATTTTATACGGAGTCAGCGCTGTCTGCAGGCTGGGTGCAGGCTGGGTGCAGGGGAGAGTGTCACTCTGAAGGACACTGGAGCTGTATAAATTGTACAGGCAGCACGCCGTTAATTATAAGCCGTCGTTAAGTGAAAGCCAAGCAGGACGGCCTCATTTCAGGACCTGGCCTGGCTGCTGTAAATTTCAGACTCCGTTGACGGCCAGGGCAGTAAATCACTGTGGGGAGGAAGCGCCACGCTTCATGTTTCCTCTTCCGACGCCCGTGTCTTTGTGCTCCTTAAACTGCAGGGCAGCTACAGCGACCTGTACCCTGACTCGGACGACTCCAGTGAAGACCAGATAGAGAACAGCAAGAACTCCTGGAGCTGCAAGGTGGGCATCTTTGGTCCAATATTAAAAAAAAAAAAAGACTCACTGCTCACTGTGCTGTCCCCCCCCCCTGCCTAATCAGTGCTGTACACTGCTGCCTATGTGTCAGTCGCTTCCCAGTAACTGCAACAGCATCTGAATAATAGGCTGGAAATAGCATATGAGTGAGGAAGAGTGAGGAAGCGGAGTAGCAGGCTTGGAGGAAGTCGGCCTCGCAGGCCAGGTTCTTGGGCCGGTGCACATGCCCAGTCATTGGGAGTCTGCCCAGGATAAGTGCTTTGAGGATAAGTGCAGATGGGTGTTTTCTGTACCAGAGCCAGCTCTACTAAGCCTGACAGGATTATAACAGTATGATCTGCCTCTTGTGTGAATTTAATGGTGGGGGCTTTTACATTGTCTCCCCCCCCCCTTGTAGTTTGTGTCTTCTGGTGGACTTCAGCTGCTTCTGGAGATTTTCAACTCCGGCATCCTTGAACCCAAAGAGCAGGAGACCTGGACGGTGGTGAGTGGCCGAGGCCCCCGCCGTAAGCGGACAGGCCCCGCCCTCCTAGCCCCACGCGGTTTTTATTCAGGGTGTGAATAATTCGCCGTGTCCGCAGTGGCTGCTGGACTGCCTGGCCTGCCTTCTCAAGCTCATCTGCCAATTCGCTGTGGACCCGGCGGACCTGGACCTGGCCTACCACGACGTGTTCGCCTGGTCCGGCCTCGCCGACGGCCAGCGCAAGAGGGCGTGGCCCGGGAAGTCGCGCAAGGCAGCCGGGGATCATGGGAAAGGGCTGCACATCCCACGGCTGACCGAGGTGGAGTCCCGCCCTCTGATTACTGCTTTCCTCTGCTCTTATTCAGCTTAGCTGCTGTGTGGGAGTCGTCAGAACTTTCCTCTTTTATATCCCACTCTTTCTTTATTTTCTGTGGCCCTTATTTACCCTTTTCCTCTAGTCAGCATATATTAAATTCTTTTTTTTTTCATACCCTGCATGTGCCTTATTTTATCAGCTCCTTTGATATTTTTCCCACTCCACTAAATTTCCCTCATTTTTGTGTAATCTCCCGCAAACGCAGTGCGTGATGGTAACACAGCTGCTCTTCTTTCTAGGTGTTCCTGGGACTCGTCCAGGGAACCAGCCTGATCCAGAGGTTAATAAATGTGGCCTACACATACGATAATCTGGCACACAGGTCAGCAAGCTTTATATTAAAGACACTTACTGCTTCATTATTGATGATATAAAGTCTCCTACTGAAGCTCACAGTGGTGGTATCTATTTCAGGGTTTTGAAGGCTCAATCTGATCACAGATCTCGGCATGAAGGTGAGTGCGGGTTTCAGGAGCCCTCAGTACATTAGAAACATTTCGAGACGCATGGAAGGTAACAGTCTGCTTTGTATGAGATGAGCTGGTCCTGTGTGTAAATACACACACCTGCCAGCAGGGGGTGCTGTAGTTAAGTGCATCAGACTCGGCACCAGAGAATTGCTCGTTCTAAAAGAGCATGTTGTCCTACATTTAAATTGTAGTGCTACATTTTGGGAAGAAAAACTTAAGAGAAAAGTTCAGGATAGAGCACTGGAGGGTAGACCCATACCCAGTACGCAAATTGATGTTTATGGTGGCTTTAACAGCTGAGGGAAGCCATATTGTTAAAACGCGCACACAGTAAACAGTAATTTGCGAGCTTAAGTGAGAGCGTGGGCTTACTATTTCTCCAGAGTCAAACCGCTTCTATTTCTTGAGAAACGCGTGCAGTCGCTCCCGTGTGTTGACGTGCTGCCCCCCTCCCTCCCCCCCCCACAGTGACGCACTACTCCATGTGGCTGCTGGTGAGCTGGGCCCACTGCAGTTCGCTGGTGAAGTCCAGCTTGGCGGACAGCGAGCACTTGCACGACTGGCTGAAGAAGCTCACACTTATGGTGCCTGAGGTGAGTCCCCGGGCAGATTTGTGCACTATTCACTCCGTCCGCAGAATAATCAGCCGGTTCATTGTCTCCTTTAACATTAGAACCGGCAGCAATTTTTCGAGCTGCTTTAGCCGCCAGCTGTGACGTGCTTCAGGGAATCGCACCTTTTGCTTTCGCTAATGGGCCCATTGCATCAGCAGACCTTCTCACCCCTCAAGAAAACAATGGGACAGTCAGTAATCCTCACGACGGCAGAGTTACCGTCACTCCAAAACAGCTGTAAAACCCATAATAGTCGTGTTTGTCATGTTTTTGTGCTCATTGATTTAAGTATTGGTTTTCATTCATTAATCTTGTGAAATGAATCAGAATCCCACACCGGCAATAAAATAAAAGCCCTGCTGTAACATAAATACATAAAGAGCTGATCAGTTTAACTGCCTCTACAGTTGGGTATAGTTTCGGAAAGATATAAAATGAGGGAAAAAAGCAGACAGAATGACAAGCCCCTTCAGCCGAAAACGGTGCATTTTACAATTCATTTCAAATAAAATGTACACATTTTAATCGTTTCACCTGGACTAACTTGTATAAGAAGAACATTACTTTATGCAGTTGTTAAAAAGCAGAAACGACAACCAACATGAAATCAGCAACAAACTACATCTATCCATTTTTTTTTGCAAAATACATTCTGCTTTTGAAAACTTTTCAGCTGTACGATTTCAGGACAGAGAACATTACGGCTTTTTGGCTGAGGGTGTTAGAGTTGCTGCTGTTATTAACACTAATGGCACATTAGCGCAAACAGGAGGGCTGCATACGCCGAAGTACGTCCTGTTTGATGTTCATTGGCATGGGAATCGGTAGTTCTAGTATTAAATGGTTCCAGGTGACCCAGTTGGTAATGCATGATCTTTGTAGGTAAGGCAGCTTACTTTAAATGACTTGATTTGGTCTCCAGGCAGCGGTGCGGCACGAGGCTTGTAACGGCCTCTACAAGCTCTCTCTGTCGGGGCTCGAGGGAGGCGAGTCCATCAACAGGTCCTTCCTGCTGCTGGCCGCTTCCACGCTGCTGAAGTTCCTGCCCGACGCCCAGGCGCTGAAGCCGCTGCGGGTATGTATGTGTGCTCAGCTCGCTGCGGGTCTTCAGGCGTGACCTCTGCCGCTCCCAAGGACTAACCACTGTCCAGGCTGAAGTAACTTCATCCATCTGAAGGCTGTACGTTTGTAGAAATCTGGACAAGGTGGACACACTCAGCCTTTCAGGGCACCTGCTGTTCTAATCAGTGATGTACTTCCCTTTCTGTTAGCTATTCTATATTTTCACGCTTGCTTCCCCCCCCCCTGCTAAATACCGGATTCAGATCTTGCTATTTAATAATAAACTGAAGCAGGTAGCTTGGCGTTAACACCGTTCATTTAGTAATGTTGACCAGTGTCTTTGATCATGATTGAACCATGTTCCTCGAGGGGCCTGCAGTCCTGTGTTTGCCTCACCGGTGTGGTAAATGTCATTTGAGTCCATCGCCATAGAGAGCAGAGTCTGTGTGATCACAGGCCCCACGCTTGACGTTCCTTGATGTAGGGCTCCCTTGCTTTAGGGATCTGACCATGACTGTGTATCTGCGTGTGTCCAGGTGGAGGATTATGAGGAGGAACCTCTTCTGAGGACGGGGTGCAAGGAGTATTTCTGGCTGCTCTGTAAGCTGATAGACAACATCCACGTCAAGGATGCCAGCCAGGTACTGCTGTGTCTGCTGGGGGTGATCACATGACTTCTTGTGCCGTATCGCTGTAGGCTTTGAGCTGGGCTGCATAAGAGGGACCATAATTCATTTTGAGGGGCCAGCATAATCAGCCAATGACATGTTTTGAGTCCCTGAGTGACAGGGGTGGGGGCCAGTCAGCTTTCAGCTATGGCCGGTGCCCCTTTGGCCCCGCCCCTGTATATGCCCTTAATTCCTCCTTTCTGAATTAGCCAGGTTTTACTCCATTTCCTTCGCATTTGCTTTTTGTGTGCTTTAGACCACGCTACTAGATCTGGACGCCTTGGCGAGGCACCTTGCCGACTGCATTCGCAGGTGAGATCCCCTTCTCCGAGTGGCCGCGTTTCCACTCCCGGGATTCAGGAGGCCCCACCTCCCCTTTAACGCCCCTATGCCCCGCCCCACATCCCCTTTAACACCCCTATGCCCCGCCCCACCTCCCCCTTAACGCCCCTATGCCCCGCCCCACCAGCCGGGAGATCTTGGACCAGCAGGATGGGACCATCGAGGACGACGGGCTCACGGGGCTCTTGCGGCTGGCCGCCAGCGTCATCAAGCACAAGCCGCCATTCAAGTTCTCGCGCGAGGGCCAGGAGTTCCTGCGGGACGTCTACAACCTGCTGTTCATGCTGCCCAGCCTGAAGGACCGGCAGCAGCCCAAGTGCAAGTCGCACGCGGCCCGCGCCGCCGCCTACGACCTGCTGGTGGAGCTGGTCAAGGGCTCCGTGGAGAACTACCGGCTCCTTCACAATTGGGTGATGTCGCAGCACATGCAGGGTGGGTCTTCTGTAGATATGCACCGTCTGCCTGTGACTGGTCCGCCAGTTTCACTTGCTTCAATCGCTTTTGCTTTATTGCCTCCGCAGCCTCGCACGCCCCGTACAAATGGGACTACTGGCCTCACGACGACGTGCGAGCAGAGTGCCGCTTCGTAGGCCTCACCAACCTGGGTGCCACCTGCTACCTGGCCTCCACCATCCAGCAGCTGTACATGATCCCCGAGGCTCGGCAGGCCGTCTTCTCGGCCAAGGTGGGCCTGCCGCCCCTCTGCTCCCTGTCCCCCTCAGCAGACCCGTCCCAGTGCTGCCGCTTCACCTGTTCGCAAGAACCTTGAAATTCCGATGCCGCAATTTGCGTGGTAGCGGACAAACAGCAGGGCGATAAGGAACAAGGTAGTGCAGCGTAAGGACGAGCGGGCGATGCGGCGGGGACCAGGGTGTGCAGACAGCCACAGCGGTAGGACAGTGTTGGTAAACTGCTGAAGTGGGAAATCAACGGCAGTGTGCGATATAATGCAGTTTAGTATTAATAATGATAACAATAATATTAGGGGTGCAACGGATTACAAAACTCATGGTTCGTATTGCAGTCACAGATCGGGGGAGACAGATATAACTTTGTTTTTCGTTACTTAAAGTGCATAAATAACACTTCAAGCAAGGAGCTTCTAACACGCTCCGTTCACGTGAACTCTCACCAGCTTTGTCAGAACTTGTCGCTGCAGATCTGCGTGGTACGGTCCATTAAGGACATCATCATTATCTTTTTCTGTCTTGTTATGTTGAGATCACAACTTATTTGTCTCCTGATCTCAACACAGCTAAAGTTGTTTTCTCAAGATTACAAGTTATTTTCTTGAGATCACAAAATAAGTTGTCAACAGTGCTTGTCAAGGGAGAGAGGGAAGCGGATTCCAGTAGAAATGCTTTGGCTAATGCTGCTGAATCTGCAGTTTTTTTATTGCATTACCACCAAAAGCTAAAATTCTCCCCCATTTCTGAGGAAGTCTATGGACTTGTGCAGTATCGAGATTTAGGGAATTATTTAGCTGTAAAACTGTATTTCACACTATTATGGTTAAACTTTGTAATCTGTATGGACCCCACCTCATGGTTTGGCACGCATGTGAACCACGGACTACTAGTCTGTTTACCACTGAAATGCGGCGAGCGTGCAGATACAGGTCACCAAGCTTTGTTGATTTTATACTTGGGATTTCTGCATGGAAATCGCATTTATCCAAAGCAGTTCCATAAGTAAGTTATCTGAGTTTGGTCTGTTTTAACTCCCGGGGCCTTGTGATTTGTGTTTGTGGTTCCTATTTAATTACCGTTTGTCCCTACAGTATGCAGAAGAGATGAAACACAAGACGACCTTGCTAGAGCTCCAGAAGATGTTCACGTACCTCATGGTGAGAGCTTCGCATTGTGCCTTGTATGAGTGTCTGCCTCCTGCCTCCCCCATTTTCACTGGCTCCCTTGACCCAACCCACCCCCACAGGAGAGCGAGCGAAAGGCTTATAATCCACGGCCGTTCTGCAAGACCTACACCATGGACAAGCAGCCGCTCAACACGGGCGAGCAGAAGGACATGACTGAGTTCTTCACGGACCTCATCACCAAGATCGAGGAGATGTCTCAGGACCTGGTAGGTTTTGCTTTCTGTGAAGGTATTTCTGCAGGTCATTGGAGACCCACCTTTTTGCTGATTGGCTGGAGCAGTGCTTTCTTAATATCAGTAGGTGCCTGGCCAGTGGTCTTAAGTATTTCCAAAAGTGGGCTGGAATTGTGTTTTTGGACTCACCTGCCTTAAAATCTTGATCCTCCCCCCTTTCAGAAAAACACGGTGAAGACGCTCTTTGGAGGGGTCATCACAAATAATGTGGTGTCTCTGGTAAGGAATCTGCTTTGTTGTTTTTGGGCCTGGGAGACATCAGGATGATTAGGAATACAGCTTCAGGCTAAGATGTAAATCTTACTTTTCAGGACTGTGAGCATGTGAGCCAGACTGCAGAAGAGTTCTACACGGTCCGATGCCAGGTTGCGGACATGAAGAACATTTACGTAAGTCTGTCTCGTAGTTGATCCCCTTCAGCTTTCAGCCGGTTTTGTATGAAAGTATCGGTCCTTGACACCATATCTTCACACATTAATGAGCTGAAATTGAGGCATGTGCACTTTCTTGTATGTTCAAGACAATCTTTAAGAATTGTGGCAGCTTCATGGTGCTGTAGTTTGCCAATTATTCTCCACTAGATCTCCATGACCATTATTTTTGACACACAGACCACATTGTATTAGGCAGTAATTGTTAAGTCCTAATTCAGTAATTTTTTGAGGAGTGTCTGTTTGTAGCTTGTGAGAGCAGAAGGAAAATGATTGGTTCAGAGAGAGAACCAATCAGATTGTAGAGGAGGTAGGTCTAAGCATCTGATTAAACTCCAGTCCTCTGCAATCTGATTGGTTATGTCTCTGAACCAACCATTTTTCATTCTGCCCTCTTTTGTGTAAGTAAAACTGCCATGAGCAAGTTTGTATGACCTTTGGCTGTAGAACTTTCAAAATTATTTTGATGTAGTGCAACTCTTCTATGTGTACTGGGATGGCAGTGCTTATCGTGGGTGATGTTTTACACAGGAATCTCTGGACGAAGTGACCATCAAGGATACCCTGGAAGGTGACAACATGTACACTTGCTCGCAGTGTGGGAAGAAAGTGCGGGCAGAGAAGAGGTGAGCTGGGGACACGGTGGACGACGATAATATCTCATCTCATTTGGCCGTGCTTGTTTTTTAGGGATCTGTCAGTATTCAGCCTTGTGTAAATCAGATATCTTGGTGTGGTTCGAGGTGTTTGTAGGTTTCTAGAACACACTTACCCAAACTGTTGGCTCCAATGAGTATTGTGTTCCTAACCCTAATCCCCCCGCCCTCGATTCCGCACCCCAAGGGCTTGTTTTAAAAAGCTGCCCCGGATCCTGAGCTTCAACACCATGCGCTACACGTTCAACATGGTGACCATGATGAAGGAGAAGGTGAACACGCACTTCTCCTTCCCGCTGCGGCTTGACATGACGCCGTACACGGAGGACTTCCTGATGGGCAAGAGCGACAGAAAGGAGGGTAAGTGTCTCTGCAGGCAGGCTGGTCTCACTCTGCCTTTCTTGGGGGGCCCAGATTAAGAATCACCATCGGGTCTCCGCCCCCGCAGGGTTCCGGGAGGAGGCGGAGATGAAAGCAGCAGAGAGCTACGAGTACGACCTCATCGGGGTGACTGTGCATACAGGCACTGCCGATGGGGGACACTACTACAGCTTCATCCGTGACATTGTCAACCCGCACGCCTACAGGAACAACAAATGGTATGTGCAGGTGACACTTTGGGGGGCCCGAGGACTGTGCTCTCAGACCCCGAGGGCTTACCATGTCCCTGTCCGCCTCAGGTACCTGTTTAACGACGCCGAGGTAAAGCCCTTTGATTCGGCCCAGCTGGCATCTGAGTGCTTCGGGGGTGAGATGACGGTAAGACTGGAGATGAAACACGGTGGGGGGGCCGCTGTTAGCGCTCAGGCTAACTCAACGGGATGTGAAGGACGTGATGGATGTGTAATCATGCTTAACTAGCAGGTGTGTGCTAATCTGGAGTAGCATGGAAAATCTGACAGGAACGCAAAGCCTGAGCTTCTTCAGATATTTGAGTTTTGTAAAGGCTAAAAGGGTATGCTTGTAAGCCAACGCAGTCTCTTAAAAAGTGTTTCTAATTTCAGACGAAGACCTATGACTCTGTTACAGACAAATTCATGGACTTCTCCTTTGAAAAGGTTGGTTGTCTCGACTGATGAATATATTACTCTTGAGCCTTGCTCTTAGTTTTCTTAAATTTTTTTCACCTGGTCTCTTCCTTCAGACCCACAGTGCCTACATGTTGTTCTACAAGCGGGTGGAACCTGAGGAGGAGAATGGGAAGGACTTCAAATTTGAGGTTTCTCCTGACCTGCTGGAGGTACTGTGGAGCTCACATTGTGTCTGGTGTGACTGATATCTTTAAAAAGGTTAGACATGTCTATCTGAACTAAAGCCTGGTTTCCTACCTGGAGTCACCTGACCCTCGGTGTCTCTCTTCCTCACCCAGTGGATCTGGCATGATAACATGCAGTTTCTCCAGGACAAGAACATTTTTGAGCACACCTACTTTGGGTGAGTGTACAGTTTTGCACCCTATAAGTTCCTCTACGGTGTCGTACCCCGTACGTCGCTCGCTTCCTCTACGGTGTCGTGCCCCGTACGTCGCTCGCTTCCTCTACGGTGTCGTGCCCCGTACGTCGCTCGCTTCCTCTACGGTGTCGTGCCCCGTACGTCGCTCGTTTCCTCTACGGTGTCGTACCCCGTACGTCGCTCGCTTCCTCTACGGTGCCGTGCCCCGTACGTCGCTCGCTTCCTCTACGGTGCCGTACCCCGTACGTCGCTCGCTTCCTCTACGGTGTCGTACGCCGTACGTCGCTCGCTTCCTCTACGGTGCCGTACCCCGTACGTCGCTCGCTTCCTCTACGGTGCCGTACCCCGTGCGTCGCTCGCTTCCTCTACGGTGCCGTACGTCGCTCGCTTCCTCTACGGTGCCGTACGTCGCTCGCTTCCTCTACGGTGCCGTACGTCGCTCGCTTTTTATACGGTGCCGTGCCCCGTACGTCGCTCGCTATTTATACGGTGCCGTGCCCCGTACGTCGCTCGCTTCCTCTACGGTGCCGTGCCCCGTACGTCGCTCGCTTTTTATACGGTGCCGTACCCCGTACGTCGCTCGCTTCTTATACGGTGCCGTACCCCGTACGTCGCTCACTTCCTCTACGGTGCCGTACCCCGTGCGTCGCTCTCTTCTTCTACGGTGCCGTACCCCGTACACCGCTCGCTTCCTCTACGGTGTCGTGCCCCGTACGTCGCTCGCTTCCTCTACGGTGCCGTACCCCGTACGTCGCTCGCTTCCTCTACGGTGCCGTACCCCGTACGTCGCTCACTTCCTCTACGGTGCCGTACCCCGTGCGTCGCTCTCTTCCTCTACGGTGCCGTACCCCGTACGTCGCTCGCTTCTTATACGGTGTCGTGCCCCGTACGTCGCTCGCTTCCTCTACGGTGCCGTGCCCCGTACGTCGCTCGCTTCCTCTACGGTGCCGTACCCCGTGCGTCGCTCTCTTCTTCTACGGTGCCGTACCCCGTGCGTCGCTCGCTTCTTATACGGTGCCGTACCCCGTACGTCGCTCACTTCCTCTGCGGTGTCGTCGCAGGTTCATGTGGCAGCTGTGCAGCAGTATCCCCAGCACCCTCCCTGACCCCAAAGCCGTCTCCCTCATGACGGCCAAGGTGAGATGCTCGTCCGTGTGGATGCGAGCTCTGTAGGGCCCCTCCGTTGGGTTGCTCTTTATGCACATTCTTTAAGGGGCATTCTTTAGGGCTCCTCTTTGACTGTCTGAGACATCATGCCTGCTCTGTGCCTGAGATGTAGTGCTCTTTGTTACAGCTGAGTACGTCCTTCGTCCTTGAGACGTTCATTCATTCAAAAGAAAAGGTACCTTTCTGCTCATATTTTTTTTGCCATTCTGTTTAAGTGTAATCTTACCCATAAGCAAATATATTTGAATTTGCTTGGATCGGTTGCGTAACTCTTCTGCTGTAAAGCACATTAAGAGCCTGGGACACTTGAGGATGAGGGGATTGTAACCGGCCTGTTCTTCCTCTGATAGCCCACAATGCTGCAGTGGATTGAACTTCTCACCAAGCAGTTCAACAACAGCCAGGCGGCCTGTGAGGTAACCCACCTTGACTTGTCTCACTTGCCGCGTTCCCTCCCACCGGCTGTGCTCATGGCAGAGCTGACCCTCTCTGTTCCGTCTCCACCCCCCCCCCCTTTGTCTTTAGTGGTTTTTGGACCGGATGGCGGACGACAACTGGTGGCCGATGCAAATCCTTATCAAGTGTCCCAATCAGATCGTGCGGCAGGTAACCCCTCGCACGTGCATGCTTGCGTGTGGGTTTCTGCGGGGGGTCACCCGGACAGATAACGACAGCCCTTATCCTCCCCAGATGTTCCAGCGCCTGTGCATCCATGTCATCCAGAGGCTGCGGCCGGTTCATGCCCACCTGTATCTTCAGCCTGGCATGGAGGATGGGTATGTTCATCTCTGCTCGCTAGTCTGTCTTTCTGTCCATCGGAGGGTAGATCATATGGTCGGTGCTGTCAGTGTCCATGTCAGAAACGGCCGTTTCCGTTAGTGACACAGGGTCGTGATTTAGCCGACCGCCTATGGGGCTTGGCGATGGTGCTCTCATCCTCGGCGTCTCCCCCTCCGTAGCTCCGATGACATGGACGGCCCCGTGGAGGACATCGGCAGCCGCTCCTGCGTGACGCGCTTCGTCAAGACGCTGCTGTCCATCATGGAGCACGGCGTCAAACCGCACAGCAAGCACCTGACCGAGTACTTCGCCTTCCTCTACGAGTTTGCCAAGATGGGCGAGGAGGAGGTTCGTTAACAGCCCCGCCCTGTTCCCGTACTTTAAATTAGCTGCTACGTAACTGACTTTGACAGCTCGCACAAACGTGCCCCCTACTGCTCTTAACCCCACATCACAAGGAGGCCGACATTTTTGTTTCCATCAACAGAGTCAATTCCTCCTGTCCCTACAAGCCATCACCATCATGGTGCATTTCTACATGGGCACTAAGGGGCCTGAGAACGTAAGTACTACTTCCGAGGATTGTTTTCTTCTCATATCCTCCCACAGCTTTAATGTGTGTGTACCTTCAAAACTTGTCTCCTAGCTCAGAAAATTGGGTTATGGGTTACTCGTGACTTTAAGGATGTCTTTAAAGCCAATTTCTCTTCAGTAATGTGCCATTTAAGATGATACCTGGAGCCCTGGGACCAATTGCCACTATCATTTGGTGGTAGAATCAGTTCTGTCAAAATCAATGTCTTGCCTAAATTTTTTATATTTGTATCAGTGTATTCCAGTTTAACAAAATCCTTCTTTCTGGAATCAGATAAATTGATATCTGGATTTATCTGGAATAAAAAAGCCCTGTCCTGCTAAATAAGCCAGAGTCTGACCATATAGTTGCTTTGAATTGTGCCGTTGCTCTTCTCTGGTGGTTTGATCCAAACCATCCCCCAAAAGGAACCCCAGTTAAACGCTGGCCGGCTGCTTGTCCCCTATGTCTGTCTGCTTTCTGGAGATGCGGTTGTTCGTAGAGGGAAGAAGGTCCAAATGGCACGATTCAGCAGCCTAAAAGCCTGAGTGCAGTTTGTGATGTTCCATGCTATGGCCAAGGATGGAGTTAAATAGGAGCTATCTGGACACACTTTCGTTGATTCAGTATTTTAAAGCTAAAGTAGGCATGTTTACACTCAGTAGGGTTTGACTGCTCTGTCCATGGGAGGCGCTGCGTGAGTGATGGAGCTCTCGCAGAAGACTCCTGTTCTTGGCTCTACGTTCATCCCTCAGCTGAACCTCAAGTCCTGGTCTTCTCCCAGCCACAGGTCGAGGTGCTCTCGGAGGAAGAGGGCGAGGAGGAGGATGAGGAGGAGGACATTCTCTCCCTGGCGGAGGAGAAGTACCGGCCGGCGGCCTTGGAGAAGATGATCGCGCTGATCGCTCTGCTGGTGGAGCAGTCTCGCTCTGAGAGGTTTGCACCATTCTCCATGACTCTCTGATGGTCCTGTTAGATTCTCCGCTGCTGGTTCACCAGCTTGGTGCTCGGGGCATTAGGTGGACGTCCCCAGTGTAGCCGTGTTCCCTTTCTTTGTATGTGATCTATTGATGGTTCATTTTGACTGCATACCCCTCATGTGAACCTTTCCTCCGGCCTGCAGGCACTTGACCCTCTCCCAAAACGACATGGCGGCACTGACCGGCGGAAAGGGCTTCCCCTTCCTCTTCCAGCACATCCGAGACGGCATCAACATCCGGCAGACCTGTAACCTGATCTTCAGCCTCTGTCGCTATAACAACCGCCTGGCGGAACACGTAGGCTCCTCCCCATTAATCGTCGCTTGTCTTGTATTTTGTTGCTGGGTGTTTAAAGGGCTGGGAGCTCCAGCCTCGTGCTGCTGGCCTTCATTTCAGTTTCCATGTCCAGCAACACCAGCTAAGGAGTAGTGCCTCTATTGACTGACCTGATTTTATTGAATGGGGCCTCTTCCATTTTTGTCCATACATGTAAAACGGCTTGTTTACCTTGCAGATCGTCTCCATGCTCTTCACTTCCATTGCGAAGCTCACCCCTGAGGTAGGTGTAGGGTCTTTACAGAGATGTGTGTGACTTAAGGATCTATCTGGGTTTCCTGTATGTCGCGTGGGCAGTGAAGAGGGACCGGCCGTGCCTGGGGATCAGCAGCAGGCATTGAGGCCGGATCACTGTCTTTGGGCTGCATGTGGCCTGAGATGTTCTGTGGGATGTTGATCTTTTTGATCTATTTTACTTGCCGCCTCTGTTCCTTCAATGTGTGTGTGTGTCTCTCTGCTCCCCCTTCCCCAGGCTGCCAATCCATTCTTTAAGCTGCTCACCATGCTGATGGAGTTTGCCGGCGGCCCCCCCGGAATGCCCTCTTTCGCCTCCTACATCCTGCAGAGGATCTGGGAGGTAAGCCTCGGGGCACTGCATGATGGGTCTGGGGTGCAGTGTTTCCCAACCCGGTCCTCGAGGACCCCCTGCCGGTCCTTGTTTTTGCTCCCCCCCCCCCCCAGCTCCCTGCCAGATAGTCAACATTTTTGCTTCCAGCAGGGAGCTGGGAGGGAGCAAAAACAAGAAACACTGGAATAGCGATCTTATGGCGTGGCCCCCCTCCCTGAACCCAACACCCGCAGGTCCTGGGGTTTCTCGGCGCCCTGCTTGGTGGCACCCACCTCCTCGCCCGTTTCTCTGATCCCATCCGGTTCCGTGTGCCCTCCAGGTGATAGAGTACAACCCCTCGCAGTGCCTGGACTGGCTGGCGGTGCAGACTCCTCGCAACAAGCTGGCCCACAGCTGGGTGCTGCAGAACATGGAGAACTGGGTGGAGAGGTTCCTGCTGGCCCACAACTACCCGCGTGTGCGCACATGTACGCCCCCTCCGACTGCACCCGACCCCTAAACCTCTGCATCCTCCTCTGGCAGGAAATAACAGGGTGTACATGTCACACCTCACTGGATTTTTTAAATCCGCTTCATCCAACAAAATATTTTAAGCATACAGAACTTTCAAGATTCAATTTTGAAATGAACAGAATAATAAATCAATTAGAAATTCTGCCAGAACAAAAACTTAGGCTAGGGCTAAAGAGAGTTTCAGAATCCAAGTTCATTTCGTATCAGTGGATTTTTATATGGGGGTGGGGAGTTTTTGTGTCCGAGCTGTATAGTTAAATGCTCTCCAGTAACTGGGCAAACTTGTATCACAATCAGCACCCCTATGGGAGCTACCAAACTGGGGAAGCTGTAAAGCAGTGGTGTGCAGTCTTGTCCAAGGTCTGTTGTGTATGTGGGATATCGCTGCAACTCCCTAATTATATTACTAATTAGAGGACTGATTGGCTGAGGAGTCCTCACACCTGGGTTTGAACAGCTGACCTAAAGGTTATCCCAAAAACCTGCATACACACCAGCCCTTTGTGGATAAGATTTGCCCACCCCCCCCACACTCTAAAACCTGATGTGAATGGTCTGCATTTCTCCCCCCCCACTAGCTGCGGCCTACCTCCTGGTGTCCCTGATTCCCAGCAACTCCTTCCGGCAAATGTTCCGCTCCACGCGTTCCCTGCACATCCCCACGCGGGACCTCCCGCTGAGCCCCGACACCACGGTGGTGCTGCACCAGGTCTACAACCTGCTGCTGGGCCTGCTGGGCCGGGCCAAGCTCTACGTGGACGTGGCTGTGCACGGCACCACCAAGCTGGTGCAGTACTTCAGCTTCATGACCTACTGCCTCATCTCCAAGACCGAGAAGCTCATGTTCTCCGGCTACTTCATGGACCTGTGGAACCTCTTCCAGGTGCCGCCTGCGCCCAAGGCCCCGCTGGGTGAGGGACCCTCTGCTTACGTTCTGGATTTTTCTGATCCCCTTCTCTGCTCTCTCCATCCCTGCAGCCCAAGCTGTCTGAGCCGGCCATTGCCACCAACCACAATAAGCAGGCCCTGCTGTCTTTCTGGTACAACGTGTGTGTGGACTGTGCTGAGAACGTGCGGCTGGTGGTGCAGAGCCCTGTGGTCACCAAGAACATCGCCTTCAACTATATCCTGGCCGACCACGACGACCAGGAGGTGGTGCTGTTCAACCGCAGCATGCTGCCTGCCTACTACGGCATCCTGCGCATGTGCTGCGAGCAGTCACCCGCCTTCACGCGTCAGCTGGCGTCGCACCAGAACATCCAATGGGCCTTCAAGAACCTCACGCCTCACGCCAGCCAGTACCCTGGGGTATGCTGTCCGGCTGTATCTGGTTCAGCTCCTGTTTGACCTTGTGCCATTTAGGTCCTGATATCTGTGACCTAGATGTTAATGATGTACTGTAGATCATGGACTCCATGGCACGCCATAGATGTTCCTTGAAATTCACACCACACACCCTGCGACTGGTTTGCACCCCATCCTGGGTTATTCCCTGCCTTGTGCCAGTAGGTTCTGGAGGAGTCTTCAGACCCCCGCAACCCTGCATAAGGCAAGCAGTGTAGAAGATGAATGAAACAAAAAATTTACAGTATCCCATTCCTGTACTAATTTAACTGAAGAATACAGACCGTCCTACTCATCTTTTTTAACGATATACACTCATAGCAGTTGTTCATTTTCGTGCCAGGAAATTAATATGATTCGTCTCGATCACCGGCCACTCAGCAACATCACAGTTGCATAGAAGTATGATTTCCTGTGAACAATTCTGTAAAAAGTTTCTGATCATTTCGGCTTCGTTAAACCAAGCCTGTGCTTTGAAGGCTTCTCAGAGGGGTGTAGGTGGAGGGAGAGAGAATCTCTGGCACTGCAGAAACATCTCCTGACTCCCGGTTTCCTGCCCCCAGGCAGTGGAAGAGCTATTCAACCTGATGCAGCTGTTCGTGGCTCAGCGGCCGGACATGAGAGAGGAGGAGCTGGAGGACATCAAGCAGTTCAAGAAGACCACTATCAGCTGCTACCTGCGCTGCCTGGACGGCCGCTCCTGCTGGACCACACTCATTAGGTCGGCCTCCTCTCTCCCCCCCCCTTCCCCTCTCTCTCACTCACCTACACACACTGTCTGCTCTATCTGCACCTTGATGTATTGAGCCCTGGTTTAAATCCGGACCTGTTCTCCTGCCTGACAGTGCCTTCCGGGTCTTGCTGGAGAACGATGAGGATCGCTTGCTGGTCGTTTTTAACCGAGGGCTCATCCTGATGACAGAGGTATTTGGAATCCTGTGTTTATGTACAAACGTAGCGAAGTAAAATTTAAACTGTAAAGCAGGTAGAAGTGGCGTGTTTCTGAGCCTGGAAAGTTTAACCTAGTCACATCAACGCGTGATGCTCTTCCTCCACAGTCTTTCAACACATTGCACATGATGTATCACGAGGCCACCGCCTGTCACGTGACCGGCGACCTGGTAGAGCTGCTGTCCATATTCCTGTCTGTCCTGAAGGCCACCAGGCCTTACCTTCAGCGCAAAGGTCAGACCACCTCCTCAACACGCCATAAGAAGCTTTTCTTGAACCCCAGCCATGGGCTTCTTCTAGCGCAGTGTCCCTTAGGCTTCCTGGCTCTGATGGGCCTCCCAGCTCTAACCTGGCTTCTTGTGTCTCAGATGTGAAGCAGGCCTTGATTCAGTGGCAGGAGAGGATCGACTTTGCACACAAGCTGTTGACGCTGCTCAACTCCTACAGCCCCCCGGAGCTCCGCAACGCCTGCCTGGGTGCGGGCCTCTCCCTGTCTTTCACATGTCCGACCACCAGGGGGCGCCAACTGAAGCCACTTGTGATTTTTAACACGGCGTCCCCTTGTGCCCACAGACGTGCTGAAGGAACTCGTCCTCCTCAGCCCACACGACTTCCTGCACACCCTGGTTCCCTTTCTGCAGCACAACCACTGCACCTACCACCACAGCAACATCCCCAGTAAGTGTGATGCCACCACCTGCTTGTTCGCGAAAATCTGCAGCCACGTCACCATGGTTAAGATTCAATTCGGTTGCATTTTCTTGTCACCAGTTTTGAGGCAATGTTTTTAGAGCTGGTGTGTCTTCCTGGTTTCTTTGCAAATTAAGTATCTGTGCCTTTATCGTTGCCGTGGGCCGGATTGTCCTCTTAAACCACCCCCCCCCCCCCCCCCCCCACACCCCACTTGTGTCCCTCCTGTGCTTTCAGTGTCCNGTATCTGTGCCTTTATCGTTGCCGTGGGCCGGATATTGGTAGGGGCCAACCCCCCCCCCCCCCCCCCACACACCCCACTTGTGTCCCTCCTGTGCTTTCAGTGTCCTTCGGTCCCTACCTGCCCTGCAGAGAGAACATCAAGCTCATGGGGGGTAAAAACAACATCCGTCCCCCCAGGCCCGAGCTCAACATGTGTCTCCTGCCCTCCATGGTGGAGACCAGCAAGGTGGGGGACTCCGGGACGTGCCTGAAGATGCACTCTCATCCGCCGTCCTTTCCATCCCTCCCTTTCACTCCCTCTTCCTGTCCCTCAGGGCAAAGATGAAGTCTACGACCGAATGCTGCTGGATTACTTCTTATCCTATCATCAGTTCATCCATCTGCTGTGCCGCGTCGCCATCAACTGCGAGAAGTTCACCGAAACGCTGGTCAAACTAAGTATGCACTTTCCTGCTGGTGCTCGCTGTGTTGTTGTACGACTGGCCGACGTGTTAGACGAGGGTGAAGCAGGGCTTGGCAGCTGCACGCTGACGTTCAGACTATGAAGCGTTAGCTTCTGGGTTTGATCGTTCAACCTTCTCACCGTCACGGCTCTGCTCCGTCTTTCTTCAGGTGTCCTGGTTGCTTATGAAGGTCTCCCTCTGCACCTGGCCCTCTTCCCCAAGCTATGGACCGAGCTCTGTCAGTCTCAGGTGAGCTGCGCCGCTCCTAAACGCAGCCAGTTAGACGCTCAGCAGCAGTCGCAGTGCTGTATCGGCCCGTATCGAGCATGTTGATGTTCTCTGTCCAGTCCCCCATGGCTAAAACGTGTGTGAAGCTGCTGTGTGAAGACCCGGCCTTCGGAGAGTACATCAAGTGCATCCTGATGGACGAGAGGACCTTCCTCAACAACAACCTGGCTTACTCCTTCCTGACCTGCTTCCTGCCCAAAGTGGGTCCCGTTAGTCTTTTAACTTTTTTAGACCTTCTCCAGCTGTCTGAGGATGTGGAGTGACTGGTCAGTTTTACTGTTTTAAATGTGTTAAGATAATTCACAACTGATTCCAGGAGTCCTGTTATGATGCTGAAACTGTAAAGTCTCGGATAGGTACATGTGACCCGGAGTAAGTCCGCCCCCCTCGATCCCCCGAAGGTGCAGAGCCAGGTGCTGTCTGGGCCCAGTTGTGCCAACCTGATGAGTGTCTTGGTGGCCAACCTGATCAGCGAGTACCACAGCTTGGAGCCTGAGCTGACGAACCAGCGAGCGGAGATCTGCGAGAGCGGGGGCGTCCTCAACTCGGTGAGCCTCACCCCCTCCCCCGACACTCTGCCTGCCGCCTGTCCCTGATGCGTACTGAACGTTCCGAAACAGAGACCAAAGCGGCCATTTTGATGCATACATGGGGTTTCGTTTGGTCTGTGTTCAGGTGACGGTGATGCATCTACAGGGGCTTCGCTGTGTTTGTACGATGTAACTTGAGTGTTTCTCATGTTCCTTTGTCATGTCATCTCACAAAATCAGATCACCGGTGATCCCATCGGGTTCCTTCTGTTGGACCTTTCATACTGATTCTATTAAATCTGATTCGCTCCCCTGCTGTTTCCCTGACCCTCCCTGACGGGCCTCTCGCCACCCCACGTTACCCCCATTTCAGGACCTCCGGGCCCTGGTGCTGCTGCTCTCGGTGCACACGCCCCAGCAGCTGGACCCCGCCCTGGGCCCCACCCTGCAGGAGCTGCTGGCTAAGTGCCGCGCCTGCCTGCAGCAACGCAGCGCGCTGGAGATCGAGCCCAAGGACCGCAAGACCAAAGGTATCTCCCGGAGACGGCCACTCGCCTGCCCCCCACCCCTCTGTCCTGCAGCATCAAAAATCTGACATTTAGACAAGTGCTGCTTCATAGATATTTTAGTTTTCACATATCTTGCTCTCCTGAGACTCTCACATGAACAGGTGCGACTGCTCTGCAGAAGCTGGAACTTGAACCAGTGATCTTCCAATCACAGGCACAGCGTCCGAACCCGCAGAGCCAAACACTGTAATATAATAAGCATTGCTCGTCTGAGCTGCCAATACAGCTTTTAAAACTGTAGAAATGCTCCCCCTTGTGGCTTGTATGGTCCATGTTCAGAAACTGATTACTGTGGAGACTATACTACACTACAGCTTTCGGCCCTGGATAGTTACCCCTCTTTTGGATCCAAAAAAATACCTCAGGTGGCCCACTTGGGGGGGCTTCCTGGCCTTAGGCTTAGACCCCCCTGAAAGGTTAATTTATACCAGGATTAGGAAGCCCAAAATGAAATAGAACAGAGTTTGGGGACCCACTACCAGTAATGAATGATTATTTTCATATTTTTTGATGTGTACGTCGGCTGTGAATACTGACATTTCGTCACTTTACGAAATATCTCTGCCATTACATAACAGAACCTAAGGGGGGGGGGACGTGGACCCCCCAGGTCTATGAGAATGATGTTTCTTCTGTGAGGGTGACTCCTGTAGCCTGCGCCTGTGCATGCAGTTCAGTGTAAAATGCGGGAGATGTGTGCGCTTGCCAGTATCCTGGCCTGAAGCACTGCTTCAAACTCTTCCCCTCCAGCAGAGGAAGAGGGCGCCACCCCTGTGAAACGGCGGCGCGTGAGCAGCGAGGGGGAGCGTCCCACCGACGCCGGCAGCGGAGGCTGCGGCCCTTCTTCGTGCCCAGAACTCAAACCCGATACCCGGGAGGCACTGACGCCAGCCAGCACCTCCGACACGGAGACTCGGGACTCGTCCGTCATCGACCCAGGCACTGAGCAGGACCCTCACTCCCCAGAGAGCGTCTCTCCTAAGGAGGAGAAGATGGAGGCGTCATCCTCCTCCTCTTCCTCTTCATCGCTGCCAGAGGAGGTGTTACCACCCGGGCCACAGGTGTTAGAGGAAGAGGAGGAGGAACAGCCTGCAGTGGGAGGCGGCAAGGTTGAAGAGGGAGAGGGGAGAGGAGAGGAAGGGGAGCAGCTGAAGGAGGAGAAGGAGCCCGGCGCTAAGACTTGTGGGGTCAGCACCTCCATCGAGGACATGGACCTGGCACTGCCCTCCACCTCGGTGCTGGCGGGGCTCCAGGAGGCCGGGGAGGGCCAGGGCTGCCCCCTGCAGGAGGCCGACGCCTCCAGCCTGGTGCCCGGGTGCAGCCATGTGGCTTCACACGGCCTCTTGAACTTGATGCAGCAGCAGGACGTGTTGGACACGCTCTGCAGGACCGTGGAAGCCACCATCAGCGTGCTCAGCAAACTGTCCAGCGGCAAAGCCGCTCGTACCGCAGCCTCTTGACAACATTTCTAGCACGTCAGCTTTTAAAACCTTTTTTATTATTATTGTTGTTGCAATTAATTATGCTGTTTGTATACTACTTTGGTTGTTTTCTTCCTTACTCCTGTTTTCCTCCTCTCCCTGTTTTTGTTCAGCGCAAACAACGTCTCGCTGTCCTGCCCTGTTCCTTGCTCCACACTGTCATGTGACTTTCTTTGGCTTGAATGGCAATAGATCCATAAAGTATGCTTGAAGACATCTGAGATATCAACATGCATAGCCTCAGATCTATTTAATGAAAAGAAAATAAGAAAACTGCAGCTATAGCACATCTTACGGAGCAGTCCTTTATTTTCCTTAATTTTTTCTTATTTCAGAGTAATTTGAAGTGATTTATTTGTTTTGAGGTTGCTGTATTGGGGGAAGGTTTACAGAATTTTAGTATTCTCTCTCCTGTATGTAATTTAATTTTATTGCATTTTTACTGTGTATAAAATGTCTTCTGTGCCAGTTTTGTACTTTATTAAAGAGGCAAGTTGCCTTGCATTTTCTGTGGTTATATTCAAACTAAGTTTACTTGTACATTAAAGAACCACAAGAAACTTGATTCTGTTAAGAATCCTTCCTAGTTGCGGCCTGGCAGTGTATATGAGTATATATGGTGCTTTATTTGGCAGGATGCCTGTGGACAGAATAAAGCACATTTGGTGTAAGTCGGGGCTTTATTTTATTTACCGAAATACATTCCATATTCTATAATGTCATCCTTGCATTTCCTGATTCTATTCATTTTATTTAGGATCTGTATTTCTCAACCTTATCCTCATGACCCCCCCCAGTCAGTCCATGTTTTTGCTCCCTCCCAGGACCCAGAATGTGGACTGACTTGGGGTCCCAGGGAAACCAAGTTGAGAAACACTAACTTAGGATAACTTAATTTTATATGGAAACTTCTGAACCAAATTTGGAGACTGAGAGTGAATATTTTATCCTCCTTCCCCAGAAAGTTTTATTCCGTTTTATCACTATCCCCACCCCCCCTCCCCCAGCATGTGGATAATTTCATTGCACAGCTATGTTTCAGTTGTCCCATTTATTTAGTGGATTCCTACATTTCCCAGGTATCCATTCTCCTTTGCATATTTTAAGACCCCCCTCTGCTCCCTGTGTGGTACAGTCCTGCTTGCTCTTTTCCATGCTTCACTGGGTTCAGTTCCAAATAGGCATGATCCACCAGTGCCTTGTTACAGGGTTTTTTTTTTTTTTTCCTTTTAGTATTTTTTTTCCTTAATTCTCAAATTCTTGTCTTGAAATCATCAGCTTTTGCTCTTGAATCTTTCCAGCAGCGTGCTTACACCCCCCTTCCCCCCAGGTTTAAATTCATTTTAGTCCAAATGAGGGGACCGGTTCTATGAGGTCAATTACCCGGTTTTAGAGGACGGCTTAAATAAAGCTCTGTAGTCATGCGTCATTTCATTTTTCTTGATTGGCACTTTACTGTAACTGTTTTTGTTTTAATCTCTGTGAAATAATGTAAAACAATAACAGTTAATTGTAATAAAATTAAATTTCAAATTTCCATTATGGAGTCACTTCTTTGTACTCATCATGTAATGATGAACGTCCTGTTTTATAATCAGAGTAATGATGAATCACCAGGCTGATTATGCCATTCACCAACATTCATTTAATGCTGACAGAGGAGATTTCTTTCTGTACAGTCAGTAACGGGTCAAATATCCATGTGTGCACATAAAGGCTTTTAAAGTTGATCTTTAATAGTTTTACTGGATGATTATATAAATAAATTAGTAAAACATACAAGTACATCTGTATGGCTTTCAGATGCCTCCCCTGTTTTGATGGTGTTATATTTGCTGTGATGATGCAATGTACCCTGGCATGCTACCCGCTGCCCCACTAGCCCCCGCATCTCAGAACTCAGACGTGTGGCTGTTGTCACTGCTGTCCTGGTCCATTTCCTCGTCCCCTTCGTTCCTGGCACCAGAGGGACTCTTATTCTGAAACACGCACATCGCTCTCATTAAGACCCAAACACACACCATCAGGCTTCGGTCTGCATTTGCAGGCCGCATCGTGGTCCTTATTTACACGATGAACATAGACCGGTGACTTACCAGGTGTACGGGGACATCCATTGAATTTCTGAACAGAAGAAAAGAAAGATTATAGTCGCATTTACTCTTGGAAATATTTAAAATAACTGTGCATTAATTAGTCGTCGGCCTTTATGCTTTTTATTCCGCAATACGTTCATCTTTCTTGTATTGGTGATTGAGTTTCCAGGACCTGGCTTCAAAGGCATTTTCGTACCTGGAGATTATGCAGTGCATATCGTCACCACCTTTGGTCGTCTTCGCCTTCCTGGAGAGAAACGTGCTTCAGAGAACTTGATTTCTTTTTTGTCAACCACAGAGCTTGGTAGAGAAACCGAGACACTCACCTGACCATCACGAATAACGCAGGCGATATGACCAGTAAGACGGCAATACTGAGACCCAGCAGCACGCCCAGAGTGATGACTGTCGCCTGGTCAGGGCCCGGCACTTGGGCGGGGTTCTCGATGGTGAACGTCATTTCCTGTCCAAACACCATCTTCAGCTGCTCCTCCATCTTCTCCCTCCGGTTCTCCAGCTCGCTGCGTGTGACACGTGCGTTGGCTGTGACATCATCATCGTGTCGTCTGGGCCACTCGAGAGATCACGTGGGGAGGGATTTAACGCTCACCGTTCCCTACCTCCTGACTCGTTCCGAGGGCACGATGTTTTGCCTGGAGTCCTTGGCAATGAAGCCGATGTTCGTTGCCACGTCTGACCTCGAGGATCGCTGCCTTATGCTGCCCGCTGCCCAGATGGTGATGACTGTGACGCTCATGTCCAGCACCTGTCCCAGTGACCTGCATCACACGCCCCATTGTTACAGATCCTCGCAGCAGGGTTCTGACGGCCGATCCAGCTCACACTTGATTGACTCTGTCATCGGTCTTACTTCTCTAGCTGCGGAGCTTTTCTCTCCACAGTACTGGCAGCCTCGGTGATGGAGATGACCACGATGTCGCTGGTGGAGCTTCTCTCCACGGTAACCTGGATGAAGCACATCAGCAGTCCTTAGAGATCCACGCTCATTTATTTTCTAGATGACTGAAACATTTTTTTGAAGGAACCATGCCGATTTGATATAAAAATGTCCCATTTCGTTAGATCGAGAGATTTCATTTATTAAATCAAAATTATTACTGTCCCTACGTTATTAGCTGTTTGTAGAATATTTTACATGAAACAGTTTATGTACCCTAAGTGAATCTTCTCGTACTTACTTTTTAAACATCGGTAATGTTCTTATATATTTTTCTATTTATTGCATTTTTACTAAAACCTTCTCTTCACCGGGTGAGATTGAGATATTTACTGACTGTATGTCTAAAAAAAATCAGTTCAAAATCATTTTGCTCCCTTTTCTCACCCTGTTTTCCCATACAAAAATGTGGACTGTCCAACAGGGAGTTCGGAGGGAGCAAAAACGCGGACCGGCTGTGGGTCCCCTAGGACCGGATTGGGAGGCACTAACCTCCACTTACCTCCACTTTGGCTGTGGCGAAGAGCCCCTGAGAGTCAGTGGCCTTGACGTGCAGAGCCACCTGTCCAGTCTGACCCTGCAGGGACACCACGTACACCTGCCCAGAGGAGGCCTCCACCTCGAACAGAGGGCTGGCCTCCTGCAGGCTGTACTCCAGCTGCCCGTTCTCCCCCACATCTGGGTCTGTTGCCTGGAACCAACCAGAAACCACACTGTCAAGCGTGTGCCGTGCTCCGTGGGGGCGAAAGTGTCTCAGCTCAGCACTTGAAATGATTATAACCAGTAGGTGATTTGTTCATTTTTATCAGGGGGGGGGGGTGGCCCAATAGAGCCATGCCGCTGATCTCACGCAGCCACCTCCCAAAGGACGTTGTTGCAGGACACCTAAACCATAACTGTCAAATATCTAGTTACATGAGGGGAAGAAAAACCTTCAACAATTCAATTTGGTCCCATGATCTCATCTATATCCAAAATAATTTCAAATTTCCCAGATTCTAATCAATGAATTACATTACTGGGAAAAAGACTTGGGAGTAGAAGTGTCTGAAGAGTTATAAGCTGAGGGTCTGTCTCACATCCCTCTTTGGTTAAGAAATACTCCCATCCATCCATTTTCTATAACTGCTTGTCCTATTCAGGGTTGTGGGAGTCTGGAGCTAATGGGCCCAAGGCTGGGAACAACCCAGTATGGGGGGGTCAACCCATCACAGGGGACACACACACACACACACACACACACACACACACACACATCCATGGGCAATTTGGCAACTCCAATTAATCTCAGCATTTTTTGGACTATGGGGGGAAACCATACAATGACACAGGAAGATCATGCAAACTCCACATACATGCAGTCATGGAGGAGGCTCAAACCTGGGTCCCAGAGGTGTGAGGCAAGAGGGCTGATCACTGCACCACTGCACCACTGCACCCCCTACAGTAAATACTTGTCACAGGCTAATACAATTTTAGGTCAAGCTGTCTGCCTCTTCTTCTTGATGTAATTTTCTCTTCAAACACTCAGGATATAAGCATATATGCTTGCATCAATGTGTGCCTCTCTTCCCCTCGTGCGTTGGATCTCACCAACACAAATCTCGCGGGAGCAGGGTCCGGGGACTTATCTAACCCTAACCACACAGATGCTCACAGCACTCTCTCTGCCCGGTTAATAAGGGGGTGCGTATTTGAAATTTTGCTAACATTCTGGATGGCATCGCTTGTCACCCCCCTCCCCTCAAATCCCCTACAGATTAGAACTCATTGGCCGGCCCTACATACCTTCACTTGAACGACTGGGTGTTTGTATGGAGAGCTGTTGAAGATGGTGGCCGAGTAACTTGTCCTGTTGAATACAGGAGCTTCATTCACATCCTGCACCTTCACAGTCACCTGCGTGAACAACCAGAAATGCTGAGCGTGTTTCCGGTGAGATCGGTGCAAATGCACGGCCATTCCAGTTTCCTATACGCTACGTACCATGGCAAGAGCAGAGGTAGAACGAACGATGGAGTCCACAGCCTCCACAGCTATGCTGTACCACTCCTGCGATTCCCTGTCCAGCGTCTGCCGTGTACTGATCATACCGTCATCATCCACAGAGAAGAGCTCCTCGTACGACTTGAGGGAGTAAGTGACTTGGACTTTGTCACTTTTCGAAAGGGCTTTCACTGTGCCCACCACTGTTGCGCTCGGTTCATTCTCAGCCACACTAAAGTTGTACATGTAGCTCTCGAAAACTATGTCTGATGTGCTGTTGTTGCACCACAGGAAGACCTGGACGGTGGCTGTGCACGGACACAAAGGGCACACACAAGAGGAAGTAAAAAAGCTGTCCCATTTCCCAGCTAGGCTTATCGTAAACCGTTGCATGGGTGTGATTCTCAAGGATTGAGACTAGCAACATCATCATACATCCATCCATTTTCAGGAATTGCTTATCTTGTTATTTGGACCAGGAAGCAGGGGCCACAAAGAGAGGTATATCTAGGATATTGCTAAATACTCAGATGGTCACATGAACATACTTGCAGTGAGTTAGTCACCAGTGTAATTGACGTTGCATTTGTCTGGATTGTTGGAGGATAGGCGAGGAAACCTAGGAATACAGCGTCTCTGCTGAGTTACCATGATACTCTGACGATTCGGAAATAATGGCGAGTTCCATCAATATTTCAGTAGGTACAGATGGGGATGTACAGATGTGAAGAATCTGTCCACGTCAGAACAGAGGGCAGGACTTCTTTACCTTTAGAGGACCGTGAAGGTTCCCCTTTGTCCCAGGCCAGAGCAGTGAGGTTGAACGTTGTGTCCTCAGTAACATCTCGCACGTTGGAGGTCAGGGTGATCACTCCAGTCTCGCTGTCCAATAGCAGGAAAGGGCTTTCCGAAGAGAAGCTAGGATCCCAAGGTTGCAAAACGAATGTCACGATTCTGACATCACAATGCCTCCAAAGACTATAAATTCACATCTACACCCTCGTGCAAATTAATTGAAACAAGCTGTCACACAGACATGCATGCAGTGGCCTGAGACCTGGTGGTTTGCACAGCCAACTGGGCAAAAAGTGTGCTGAGGGGGTGGACAGAGGAGGCCTATGCACACAGACCGACAGGCCTGCTCGGGTGGGGTTAGAGCTGGGTGGATGGACAAAGGAGGCCTATGCACACAGACCGACAGGCCNCGGGTGGGGTTAGAGCTGGGTGGATGGACAAAGGAGGCCTATGCACACAGACCGACAGGCCTGCTCGGGTGGGGTTAGAGCTGGGTGGATGGACAGAGGAGGCCTATGCACACAGACCGACAGGCCTGATCGGGTGGGGTTAGAGCTGGGTGGATGGACAGAGGAGGCACTGTGCCCACAGACTGGCAGGCCTGCTCTGGGGTTTGGGCGCCTCCCTGTGTTGTCGTGGGGTTTCCTTCGGTTTCTCTGGTTCCCCCCCACAGTCCAAAAACATGCTGAGGTTAACTGGAGTTGCAAAATTCCCCACAGGCATGAATGTTTGTGTGCCCTGTGACGGACTAGCGCCCCATCCTGGGTTATTCCCATAGAACTTGTATCAATCCACAAGGTGCTAAATTCAGACCTAAGGCGAGAAGTATGGATTAATGTGACTATGATTACTAATAAAGGATTAGGTATAACTTAACTCAGGCTATCTGCATATAGACGCAACAACTTGTTCCAGTTAATTTGCACAAGGGTGTATGTTTATGATGCTCGTTCATGCCAAAGGCTCGTTATCTGTGAAGCACCTATAGGAGATGAGCGAGTTGTTGCCAATGTCCTTGTCTGTGGCCAACAGTGTCAATACAGTGTCTCCTTCCTTAGCGTCCTTCACCAGCATTCTTATGACATATGTTTCCTGGCTGAACTCTGGGTCATTGTCATTCTCATCCAAGATGCTAACTGTGATACCAGTGATATTCTGAAGGGGAAGAGGAACCATTCTGTAAGTACTACAGGCAATGCACACAACATGCCCCCCACAGTAACCCAGCTGACCAAAGAGCAGATGATAAAACCATCACAGAGGAATTTTTATTCTTCTTGATGACATAGCTTGTCATGAGCAAACAAAAGATTTATTGTAGTTGCACAACGTTTACCAGGGATGGTTGCTATAAACAGAAACCAAAACAATGATACTGTAACAAATCACGTATCGTCAATGTGGATCCTGGGTTCATTCCAAATGCTTTCCAGAATTCAGCTACTGCTTCAGCATTTACCTACGACAGAATCTCTTACCTTCCTTGCTGGTATCCCCTTATCAGAAGCAACTATCACGAGCTCGTAGACGTCCTTCGTTTCCCGGTCCAGGGGGGACACCACAAGGAGAGTCCCATCCTTCAAAGTGTCAAGAGGCTCCAACTTAGTTACTGAAACCAGTTCAGTCTGATACTATTACTCTCTTTTCCTCCACCCATGGATTATCTCTTTACGTGAGTGAATTTATCTTTTTTTTATTAATTTATTGGGTATAGTCCTTTGGTCAATGAACCCTGCTAATAATTTTTTGTTCTATGAATGCTGAATGTTACAATTAAGTTATGGAAATCTTCAACGTGTCCAGTTTTCCTGATGTTCCCAGAACCTTATCTCACTATTGCAATTACTACTACAACTCAGAATGATAATACCAAAGCTAATGAAGGCCATGGATGAGCAAGTGGGTGACACGGTCACTTACACCTCAAAGATCATGGATCCAAGCCTGAACAATATTTTTTGCAGTATACACATATAGCACTTTTATAAAATAATATTACAAAACAATATTTTTCAATATTAACTGTCTTAAAAGGATGTTCATGTAATAATATTATCGTAATGACATTGACAGAACTTTTGGCACAATGTAAAACATGGAAACAACGTTCCATTAACATTGCAGTAAGAACGTTCTCTACCAACTCTGAGAAGACCTTTATATAATGTTAGCTAAAGTTCTGGGAACATTCCCCTTTAGGTGGGAAGGCTATTTTTAAAATAAATATAGATTAGTTAGTTATTTAGTTAGTAATCTTAATGCAGATGTGCAATGATGAAGTAGTTCAGAACTCAGGGCCTCTCTGATCTCACCTCTCTGATCTCGAACAGCAGGTCAGCGTCGGACGAGAATATAGACAAGGTGACCCTGCCGTTGTCGCCTTCATCGGTGTCGGTGGTGCCGATGTGGCAGATCTCCTTGGGGTACTCGGGTGAGTACTCCCCCTCGGGAACCTGAACGAGTCCCGGGTGGGGGGAGAACTGCGGGTCGTTGTCGTTGACGTCCAAGACGGTGATATTGAGCTGAGCTGTAGCACTCAGTCCATCAACAGTAGAGTCCACTGCCACCACCTGAGTATGTACAAAATGCAAAGTTAAAGATATTCATGTAGCCTTCATGTTACCTGTTATAGATGGTATCAGATGATGAAGTATATACCAAAGGCCATTCTCTGCTTTACCTTATAAAGAATCAAAAGCCGTAATTTACCTGTAAGATATAATGATCACATTCTTCTCTGTCTAAGGTTGCATTGCTGTTGAGAAACACGGTGCCTTGATTGTTTATGCCGAAAACTTCACTTTTTAGAACAAAGTGACCGTCTGAAAATCCAGCCTGAAAACAGCAATATCAGTCAATATTCCATCAATAGACTATGAATGAGCACTTAGAAATACTTAATCAGAGTTGTTTTGAATCAGAATAATTACATTTTGAGACATTTGTTGTGAGCCATTAAAGCCTTACACAGCTGCCTATTGTTAATCATTTAGAATGAGGAACGGAAAGCTTAATATAAAACTCAAACCCTCTCCCTGACCTCGTCTTTATCTGTGACATCCAGCGTGACAAAGGCAGCTCCGCTGGGCAGGTTCTCATAAATGGCGACATCGTTCTTCTCCTTCACAAACTCAGGTGCGTTATCGTTTACATCCTGAACCCGGACCAAAACAGAGCACGTTCCGGTGAGTCTCGGCGTCCCGCTGTCTGAGGCCTCCACCAGCAGGACGTACTCTTTGACCGTCTCGAAATCCAGAGGTTGGTTAAGCTGCAGGTCCCCAGAATCTGGGTCCAGAGTGAAGACAGGCAAATCAGAGGAAGGACTCTGCCGGGCAATGCGGTAGCTGATTACGGCGTTGGGACCCTCGTCCGGGTCCACAGCAGCCACCCCGAGAATGATGCTGCCCACAGTGGCATTCTCTGGCACCTGGTACTCTGTCAATGGAAACTGGGGGGGGTTGTCATTCACGTCCCCCACCGTGATGAGTATGCTGCCTGTAGCAGACTGGGGAGGCTGGCCTTGGTCTCGGGCGACGACCTCCATCCGGATTTCAGCCAAAGTCTCTCTGTCAAGCTCACTGGCCAGAAAGACTTCGCCAGACTGGGAATCGATCAAGAACTTCCCTTCTCCTCCTTGTAATGAGTAGGAGAGCTTGCCGTTGAAGCCCTCATCACTATCTCTGGCAGCCATCTCCATCACCCTGGTGCCAATCTCAGTGTCCTCAGGGACCGTGACATTGGTGGAATTCGGTGTAAATAGCGGGGGGTTGTCGTTGACGTCAGTCACTTCCACGAGCACAGTGGCTTGATCGTGACTCGTACCATCCGAGAGGGACACAGACACTGTGTAGTTATTCTCGCTCTCATAGTCCAGTTTCTTCAAGGTTGAGAAATGGCCCTCTGAATCGACGGAGAATTTGTCTCCGTGTGTCATGACCTGCAGGTTCACTTTATTTATGGACGATACTGACAGGAAGCTCATCTGGAAATAAAAAGTTAAGAATGAAAATAAAAAGAACATTAGATCATACAGCAGAGTTCTCCAATTCCAGTTCTGCTGGGCAAGTCTTCAGCAGTCTGCAGATTCAAGTAAGTCTCTGTTGATACAATATATTAGTCAGCACCCAACACCCTCTTTTCTGTCTCATATACTATTTTAATAAAAAGTTTTCAAATTATCTGATCCACCTTCTGGTCTGTAATGTACATTTTTTCTTTTCCTTCCTGTAATTAAAAGAGCTATGACGCATGAACTTTATTGTCATACGAATTATTCGATAGGTGCACTGGAGGTAGAACCCCACTGGAATGAAGTATATGTGGCTCTGTAAGTAAGGACTCTGTGTCTGTGATCAGAAGGCAATCGGTTCAAATCCTGTCGTTAGACTGATCTCACCATTGGCTCACTGAGCCAAGGCCCTTAAGCCATATTTACCCATATTGTTGACGGCCTGATCCTCTCACTGGTACTTCGTTTTGGACAAAAGCATCTGCCAAATAAATTCTAATGAAGAGCTTAATCACCTGCAGATAAAACTGCCTGTGAATCTTATTCTGGTTGCTTCATCCAGATGAGAGTCAGAATTAACTAGAATTATCCAGAATTAACCAGGAAACTGTCATCACATGTTGGATAAGGCCTTGCATTTAGAATGTAGTGAAAGTAGCTGTGACTGTAAATGTAAGATGCAACCCTGAACCTTAAGTTCAGGTGTCTCACCTTCAGGATCTCAACTGGTGGTTCCATTTCCTCCTGCACGCGACCCTTGTAGGTGGAGCTGAGGAACTGAGGTTTGGTGTCACCAGGCGCCAGGATGTTTACCAGCAGCGATGAAGCACGCGGTGGGGCTCCCTCTGCAGGAGAGTCAAGGACACCTTTCAGAAAAGCATTTTAGCATTTTAACAGCATTTTAACATCTGACGTTATCATAGGAGGCCAGCTGTTCGCGGATCATGTCGTAACGGAAACGCCCCCAAACCTCAGTGCAGCAGCTCACCGTCTCTTGATGTCACAAACAGGGAGAACCTGAGCACCTCATCCTCCTTGAAAGGGATCTCTTTGCTTAAGGAGATGTCCCCTGTGTCTTCGCTGATGTTAAAGTAGCCGTCCTGGTTTCCTCCTGCTATGGTGTATTTTACTCTCCCATTAGGGCCCGCATCTGGATCTTCAGCTGTAACCTGTGAGTTAGTAACACATGGTGACATGAGAAGGCCTCCTATTCTGGGCAGCAGGGGCACTATAAGGGGGAGGAGTTTGGATGGGGCCCTAAAAGACTGACAGGGGCCCTGGGTTTGGGGCCCAATATCTCTAGAGGCACCACTGCTGGCCAGAGTCTCAGCTAAAAACACACATTAATGAAAGTTAAAGATTTTCAAATGTGATTATAATAACAATAAAAAACACCTGAGCACCAGATTTTAAGTCTCACTGACCTGAACAAATCACCTAACTCCCCAATGCCATTGTAACATGGTGATTTTACCCAACAATAATTTTTATTTCTCATGCAAGCAGACTGGCCATGGAGAAAACGCTCTCAGTGCATACCTTAGTGACCCATATGCCCACTGTTTGGTTGTTAAAAACTTTTCCTTCGTACACGGAGTTGTCAAACTGGGGATTGTTATCATTTTCATCCAAAAGAGTTACGTTGACGTCGGCCAAAACAGTGTGGAAGGGGGGCTGGTTTTCTTGAGCTTTAATCTTAGAAAAGCAGAAGAAATGAGACAACCTGGTAACAACCTAAAACACATATGTGACACTGTACACTCTGATTACATGACAGAGCCACTAGATGCAGGGAATATGTGACACATTTAATGTTCGTTCTGTTAATTCACATTTTCCCTGATAAAATGGTGTTTCTGGTGTCAGATGTGCCGCAAAGGAGGGAAAGTCATTCAGAAAATAACTGGATCGGTCTGAATTGGGGGCCCAGTGTGACGTGCGTCATGGTTTAGCACTGCAGATAAACAGGCGTTGGACCCTTGTCCAGATGTGTTACTTTCAGCTGAAACATAAATAAATCAGGTTATTCTTACCTGAAAAGTAAAACTGGGGCTTGTTTCTCTATCTAGAAGAGTGTAATCCTTGACCATCAGGGTGCCGTCGGAAGAGAGCGAGAAAGGGACGGTCTCCGGAAGAACTTCAAGTGTTCCATTAAACCCTCCCTAAAAGCCCAATAAAAATTTCACAGCATCACACTCTCAAGAATAACCACTGAAAAACCCTCACCCATGCACAGTGCAGTGAGAATCTCTAACGTACTTCGTCTTTGTCGCTGATTATTGGCCTGAAGAGGATGAAGCCATTTGGGGAATTTTCGAGAATACTGGTGAAGTAACTGCTTTTGTCGAACTCAGGCTGGTTGTCGTTGACGTCTTCAATGTTTAAAGAAACTGCAGCGTTTGCTGTTTTCAGACTATCGGACGCTTGAGTGGCCTGATGCACACAGTGAAAGATGGATGATAAATACAGGGCCAATCAAAAGTCTGGACATGCCAAGCCGCCTAAAAAGGAGAGTGATAGTGTCGTGTCACATGACCTGGCCACCTGACCTAAACACAGCAGAGATGATTTTGGAGGAGTTTAACCAGAGAGTGAAGGAAAAGCAGCCAATGAAAACTCAGCATATGCGGGACCTCCTTCAGGACAGCTGGAATAGCATCCCAGGAGGCCACCTCATGGAACTGGTGTAGAGGAGACAGTGGGGTCACCCAGTCCCTGGAGCAAATGGGGCTAAGGGTCTTGCTCTAGGGCCCAATGGGGGGGATCACTCTGCCGACCACAGGATTTGAATCAGCAACCCACAATAGATTATAATTTTTTTTTTGTTTAATAGTTTTTTGGTCAGTGAATAATTCCATATATGTTATTTAATAGTTTTGATGTTTTTATAATTATTAAAATGTAGAGAATAGTACAAATAAATTTTGACTGGTATTGTAAATAGAGAGAAATAATTCTATTAATTCATCATCTTTATTTATGGCAGTCCCTTTAATAAACATCAATTTAAGTTAGGATCAGGCAGCAGGGTTAGCCAGGGTCCCTGGAGCAAATGGACCTTGCTCATTGGCTAACAATGACATAATTACACTGACAGCCATGGGATTTGAACCAGTGACCTTCCATGCATGGGCCTTGAACCCACAACCTACTAGACACTGGCACTGATCCTAACCCCACTGAGCGTCCCACCATCTACATGCCATTTATTGAAGTTAATACAATGTGAACAGTCTTGGTTGGAGGGTGTGTAAACATCCTATTGACATCCAGGTTAAATACAGAAATATGCCCAGACCAAGTCACCATACCTGGATGCTCAAAATGATGGAGCTGATCTCCTCTCTGTCTAGCGATGACACTACGGTGATGACACCAGTGTCTTCATCAATGCTGAAGTAAGACTGATACTGATCTGGAGAAACTGCAATTGAAAAACAAAAACAACAGGCTCATACATAGATGTACATCTCTTAGGGTGGTCTATGCAGAGGCGGGTTTTGTTTCAACCGATCAGTTGAGTATAAGAAGTATAAGTGAGTATATATGAGTATAAGTACTCAACTGGTTGGTATGAACAAAATCTTGGTCTTGATTTGTATTTTCTGGACATGAACTTTCCACCTCTGGGTCTATGATTTTCTACCTAATTCTGTATTCCTGTATTTTAATATGAACTACAAAACTGCTGGCTACATTTAACTATGTTACATTAAACTACAATCATCTTATATAGAAAATAAACATAATTATACATAAATTTTACAGAGATTATCGACTGTAATGTGTATGACAAGACTGATAGCACAGTTAGTGTTAGGAGATAAAACTGATCCTAACAGAATAAAGGTAATTTATGCAGGCATCTTAGCGGAATACCTTGGTTAATGCTGTAGATCACAGACTCGTTAATGCCAATGTCTCCATCTTTGGCGAGGATGGCTTCGGGGAGGATATCTCTGAACATCCCCATCTTAAACAGAAAGTGAAATGTCAGCAGGACAAAAATAAAAAGCAAAAATGAAAGCAACCTGTGTGCTGATTGTTTCTCCATTTGGATACTCCCAGGATCTCACTTGGTTTTCCTGTATGGTTGCATGATACAGGCTGCGTTGAAAGTAAGGACTGGTGTTGTCAAAGTCCTCAACTGTAAAAAACACTTTGGTGGTGTCTGTTAATCCCCCTGCATCCTAGAAAAAATGACATCAGATGAGAGACAGACAGACAGGCAGACGGACAGACAGGCAGGCAGGCAGGCAGGTAGACAGACAGGCAGACGGACAGATAGACAGACAGGCAGATGGACAGACAGACAGGCAGGCAGACAGACAGACAGACAGACAGGCAGACGGACAGACGGCAGGCAGACAGGTAGACGGACAGACAGGCAGGCAGGCAGGTAGACAGACAGGCAGACGGACAGATAGACAGACAGGCAGACGGACAGACAGACAGGCAGGCAGGCAGGTAGACGGACAGACGGCAGGCAGACAGGTAGACAGACAGACGGACAGACAGACGGACAGACAGAGGTGCTACATACCCGAGCTTCCACAGTGAAGCTGTAGCTGTTGGCTAGGTTGTAGTTCAGGGCACTCTTCAGAATGATACTCCCATTACTTTGAATCATAAATTTGTCTGGTGCTGGGTCCTTTTGAGGTGTAAGAAAATAAGTTACCATTTCATCAAACATATCTGCTATACACACACAAAAAAACATTACAATATGTTATTGCATTTTATTCTTATATAATAATTATATACATTACAGGTTATTACTATGTTTTGCCTTATTTGTTACTATATAGGTTAATATTTGCATATTTATTTTTATGGATATTAATATAGAAACTGGCTTACAAAATTCTTTAATTGGAATGATTTCCCTGTCAATTCTCACTGTGTCACAAACACATTCCATTAATGTCTGTATAATTATATAGCCTATTAGATATAATTTTATATTTTTAAAAACAAGATTTTACCAGTATGGAATATGTTACTCTGTTGTTTACTGTGCTAACATCTGCATCCACCGCTTCAACCTTCTCTACCAGTGAGTCCACAGGCAGTGCCTAATGAGGAGAAAATGAGATGATTTAGGAAGGAACAGGACACAGACATAATCTATACCACATATAACATATATTTGCTCCCTTCCAGTGCTCTGGATCTGAGAAACACTGATCTATACCACAACATCAGGAGTGTAGCTAGACATTCTGTGTACTCTGACAAAATGTCACGTTTGGTCCCCCGCCTGTTAATCTGTTTTTCAGCATTTCCTTTTTGCGATATCCCAGCTAACAATTTTTTGTTCCAGGAACTTTCGCTGAACGTTACGATTAAGGCAGGCCTCAGGCAAGTTCAAAATGTCCATTCCTCATATTCTCAGAACGTTATTCCACTACTACTACAACTACTACAGCTAAAAGTTACAATATAGAGAAAACAACCGGCCTGGATGGGCAGCGGGTAACATGGCGGCTTTACCTCTAGAGTCGTGGGTTCAAGGCTGATTGATACTAAAGTACTAGGCCTATAATAGAATGGTGTTTTATTATAAAACAATATTTATTGCATTAATTGCATTAAATGGATGTTCAGGTAATAATGTTATTGTGCTGACATTGATAGAACCTTTGTTAAAATGTAACAATGGAAATAACCTTCCTTTAACATTACAGACAGAACGTTCTCTTGAGAAGATCTTTATTTAACGTTATCTAAAGTTCTGGGAACATTCCCTGTCAGCTGGGATGGGACACATGAAGGGGGGCTGTGAATCTCCCTCTTGCATAATCAGGGACCCCTGTCATGTGCCGGCCCCCCTGAATCTGCCGTGATTAGGAGGCTCAACAAGCCGATGGCCATTTAACATCCCGTTTATTAAAAGGAGAAAAAAAAAGGAGCTACATCGAGAAGGTTTACTGGACGCGACTATACCTCAGATATTCTTTTCCGGTATTCCTTCTGCTTAAAAACGGGCGGATTGTCGTTGATGTCATTTATTATCAGTGTCCTCCTGTTAATAACCTGAACAAAGAAACAGATGCGGGTGACATTAAGTAATAAATAGGCTTACCTGAAGATCTCAGACGTGCAACTACACCATACTTACCTCCGTGCTCACACATTTCACTGAGTAGTAAAGCTCACCATTTGTCTAAAGAGAGTGCAACATAAAAGGTATGAGACTACGATCTAAAATTAAATATAAAGTAAAGTGTGTAAAGTTATTCAGGCAGAAGCACAGAACTTAAAATATAAGGAGTAAATAAGTTGTACACCCTACTCTGAATTTGGTTTTTAGATAATAAATTTAAGCTTCCATAGATCTTTCCTGGAAGATACAAGTATTAATATTTAATGTTTCATTGTTGTTTGTTACCGATTGAACTTACATCAATCAGGACGTCAGCATCCAGTGAGCCTTTAGTCTGAACTACCGCGAATGTATCTCCAAGTGTGAAATTCAACTCCAGGAAATGCAAGTGGTCCGGAAATGAAAATTCCGCGAGCACCACACTCTCGCCTGGATCGATGCCAGTCAAATTCTCCACAGCCCCTATCAAAGCATTGGGAATAGTAAAACTACAGTTAGACGTCTCAGTCCCTTTGGGGCTCAAAACGTGTAACAGAGCTTTGATAGTGATGGTCCCATAATCTCAAACGTTTGCATGACATTATAAGTCTAACATTTAAAATGTATAAAGCATATGAGCATCCGTATGTCTATAACATAGCCTAGACCTAATAACGTCAAGAGTTTCCATGTGTGTGTATAGGAAATGTTAAAATGATTTACCGGTATATCCTTCACCCACTGCAGGCAATGTCTTATAACTGTCAAATTTACAGTTTATTGATGAAGTGCCTGGAAAGATAATTATAACATAAATAAAAATGAAACAATGTACATATCCTCCACTAACAGCACTGATGACATCCACAAAGAGGCAGTGAAATCATGGCCTGAATTGGCACCTATGAGAACCTTACAAATACAAAACAGCGACTGTGTTTGGTTGGCAGTTTCAGAGAAAACAGTTAAAAGGTATTTTTAGAATTACAGATAGATGCACAGTTACTCATCAGTATAAGATTTCATCTTAGAGTGTACCAAAATTCCAGGATTCTTCAACTTAAGTTGGTGCTTCAGATTCGTGGCTCTGTCGAAACATTTTCTCTTGCCATTTTTTTTGGACAAATATTTGGCATACATCAATAAAGTGAATAGCTGTTATTGAGCGAAGAATACAGATCTGATAACGTAACACACTTAAAAACTGATCCTACATTTCACATTCACCAAACAGAAGAGCCGGTCTGCTCACCAATGGGGTTCCCTCTGACATTGTGTGAAAAAAAGCAGCACATGAAGATGAAGGCTGAGAATAAAATGACGTTCCCCATGTCAAAAAACATCCAGCTCTGGTGGGGTGAGAAGGCTCGCGGTCCCCAGAGTCCACTGAATAGCTGTGTCCACCCTGAGTTTGTGAGCTTAAAGTTCTGAGGGATCTGATCACCTAAACAGGCCACACCTTCCTTATAACATTTTTTTTATTGCCAGCTATATTCAGATAATAAACAGGTCCAAAGTACACATGCACAGTCCCAGCTGTCTGTAAATATAGTGCATCATTTCTCATAGGCCACACACAGACATTACCATTATTAAACCTATAAACACATCAATAAACTAAAATTCTTTTCCCCTTGTTCACTTAGTTTAATGCATGCAGTTAATTATATTGTTTAACATACATTCCTGATTCAAACAAATCATACAATAAAATCTTACTGACATAAGAGCTAGGTCATTATAATTGGTTTATCAACCCTGAGGTGTGACAGTGCAAAGATCAATAGATACAGCACACATGCTGTCCTCATGCCAGAGTTATTTACAAAGTACAAAGAAATAAACTAGAAACTGATTGTATTAAAAATGAAATAGAAATTAGTTATGTATAACAGTATTTTATTTATAATAAAAACATACCAGGAAATTTGCTAGAGGCATGTTACAAGAGCAAAAATATTTTCCCCAAAAAGATATAATTTGTGATAAAAACGGACATTCGGATATAATGCGTATGATGAAGCAGACATATGAAACTTGTGTTTTTCATGGAAGCACGTGGAGTCAGCTTTCAGTCCAAAAGGTATGCAGGTGTTCTATCGACCAATGGTACCTATCGAGCCTTTTTGCGTATGTGCAGTTCCACCGTCTTGGGATTAGGGTTAGGTTTTAGGGGTTAGGTAAGGGTAGCCTAACTCGACAGAGTAGCTCAACTCATCAGAACACCGGTCTGCCGTTTGTTTTTCTAAACTTGTGCTCTTCTTGTGGGTGCCTTATGTTATACTAATGTCCTATTTAGGCTATGCTCGATGTCTTGTTATGTGTTTGTGACTCTGTATGGGATGAGGGTTGTGAGTCTGAATCCCGCCTCAGGTCTGTGTCATGAGTTTGACTTTCTTCCGGTGCCCTGCCAGCACAGAACTCCAGCTTCCTCCCACAGCACAGTTTTGTACTCGAATAAACTTCCAATTGAGTCCAAATCCGCTATATATCTTACCCCTGTTTTAGGGGTAGAGTGATCGCGGCAACCGCTACACGTGACCACACAGTTTCACGATGCAAAACAAATCTGCGCATGTTGCCTACGTCATTTCCGTCAAGTTCTCTAAGTTGAGGCCATTAAAAGTTGGATTTAAGAATAGCCGTACATTTTGAAAATTGTAGTTCTTGTAATGTGCGTAGATATGCATATTGCCATAATAATCCTACACAGTTTAACGCTAGCGCCATGCATTATATAACATGCGTGCGATCCTCCGGGTTGCAACGAGGCTTAAAGTGAGGGCTGCAGTTCGAGCAATCGATCACTCTGCTCATCGAACTCTAGAAGAAACAAAACGTTTCTTTTGCAAGTTTATAATTTAAACTGATTTATGTCCCATTTACAATTTATAATTACGTCCAATGGAGTGAATTTATGCATTATTTTCTATTTATGAGTAAAAAATTAGGTTCGATTAATTCTGCCTTAACGTAATGACGACAGCTTTTAATGGTACGACGTGTGTCTTATGGCACCTAGCTGGTAATGAAACATTACTGTAAATTAGTCAAATGTTTGGAAATGGTAAGTCCTAGCAATTTTTTTCGTCGCTTTTCTGTAATGGTTTTGGTGTTTGTATGATGGCTAACTGGCTGCAATGTCAAAGCTTTCCTAAGAAGCTAACTATTTATGTTTTATGTACCTGAAAACTGTAATTGGATGATTGTTGCTATCGGTACGTGAAGCATGTACATCGAGTGCCTAATCTGAATCTCTCCAATAAAACATTTTACCGCATTAATGTGGAAAATCGTAGTTTGCTTCAGCTAGAGACGTCGGCTCAACAACTACATAGAAACAGACGAACAGGCTTGATTCGTGCGGTTGACAGTGAGTGCTCTGACCTACATGTTAACTGGTTGGTAGACAGCTAGGAACTTTGTTCAGCGAGACTAATATTACTTTAATCCGTCAGATGAATGTAACGGGTTTGCTGTTTGCCTAGAAACTCACAGACGCACGCAGTAGCCGTGTGTGAACCTGGAAACGGTGACAATAAAGATTCAAATATACTGTACTTGCAAACAAAAAATATTTGTCAAAGTTAAATGGCATTAATCTGTACCGTGTGTAAGGATGAATATGGTAGCTACACTGCAGAATCGGTGTACCATGGGCTGTCAAACCCAGGTGTAAACTTCACGCTCGTCGCTCACTTTCCCGTGTCTGTGCCTGCAGGACAGATGACAGCATGCTGCCACTGAAGGATAAAGACCGACCGATCGCGGTGGCGCTGCTGGGCGCCGGCTGCTGTCCGAGGTGCATCCTACGGTTCTGCTGTGTGAGCCTGCAGTCCGCGTACCGTCAGCCTCATGAGGTACCTGCAGCCCGGCACCATCCACTCATAACCACCCTTGACAATTTAAACCGACGTTATAAAGACTCGTCCAACTGAAAAATACAGCCATGGAAAAAATCGAGAACACGGCACAATTTTTGTTTCATTTCTCAATTTATGGGTGTCTGAAAAATATATATATTTTTTGCAAACTGCAACCTGGTTCTCCTCTGTTTCTCATTAATGAAGGGCTTCTTCCTTGCTTTATGGGACTTCAGTCCTGCTTCTAGGCGCCTGATATGAACTGTCCTAGCAGTGCACTTCACACCTGCACTTAACGTTTCCCATTCCTTTAGAAGGTCACTTGATGTCAACCTACAATTCATGAGAAACTGTCAGATAAGTTAACAGTCACCTCTGGCATTATAAAGTCACTTCCGCCCTTTACCCGACTGGCTTCTGGTCATTCCTAGTGTCTCCTGCTTCACCTTATTCTTGTGTACTGCTGTCTTAGAAATTTTGAACCTGGAAGCAACCTGCTGCTCAGTGTAGCCTTCAGCCAGCAGAACCAGGATTAAACTGGGATTTGAAATTGCAGATATGTTTAAAAATATGGAGTGGTCTCAATTTTTTTTTTTACAGCTGTATAACAGCGGACTCACTAATTGAAATTGTTTTATTTCAGGATATACTGTTTGAGCTGCAGCGCTTTATCCATGAAAAAGTTGCCGATGAATCACATGGTGCCACAGAGGAAGTGCCGGCAGACTCACCACCCTGTAAGAAAGTTAGACTGGAAGCGGAGCAGGGCGGTGAAGTGCATGAAGGAGGAGAGGACATTTCTGTTGTTGAAGGAAAATCAAAGATCTGCGTGGTGTGTTTGGGAGTGCTGCAGGACTTCTGCGATAAAGACTTTGCCAAAAAGGTATGATTAGGTGTTTCCCTCCTGCACAGTCTAAATATCATTTGAACCAACAAATAAATTTTTGTCCAGCTTTTTAAATACTTAAAAGCAGCTGATTCTTTTACCCTTATGCTGATCGTTTATTGCGGTACAGTTACATCAAAACATTTGCAATATTCTTAACCTAGTATGCTAATAGATTTAAAAACAGCAATGCATTTGCTTTTTTCTGTTTTACGTGACTCTGAACAGGACAAGTGGTTATAGAAAATGGATGGATGTTTTACGAGACACACATTGCTTTTGAGTAACATATACTGTCAGAAAAAAAGAGTATCTTTGTTTGTCACTGGGGCTGTACCCTCAAGGGTCTGCCAATTGTACCCTTAGTTATAGGTAAGTATATGTTTTAAGGTACAGAAATGAACTCTGAAGAACAGTTTTGTACCTTTGGGTGTACATTAATGTTGTGTCTGTTTTGGGGATGTTCCTTAGAGTCAATTTCTGTACCTAAAATTAAACTAAAAGGTACATTTGCCTACAGCTAAAGGTACAGTTGCATCTCTCTGGCACTGTGCTGTACCCTCAAGGGCCTGGCAAAGGTATGAAGGAACTCCTTTCTTTCTGAACAAGGCGTGATTTTGTCATATTTCATAGGCTTGGTCGCTTTTAAATTAGGAAATGTGCACATTTAGGTTTTATATTGACATCTTATCTTTAATGGTGAATCCTAGATGAGTGATGCAGGGAAATTTACTGTGTGACCAGGTTGCAGAAGCGGTGACCTCGGAGAAATACGAGTTTGACAGTCTGGTCCTCTCAGTCTCACTGCCTGCTCAGCTGTCTGTCAGAGAGGTAAGATATATCATTCATTAGCTTGCTGTACGGTCATCCTGTAAGGGTTGAACAATAGGGATTGGATGGTGACTTGGGGGAGATTGTTTCCCTCAACACTAGAGGGCGCAGTCAGTCCAAGATTCAGCCTCCTCAGAAGCTACACTTAGGTTTCGACAGTGACAGTGACAGTGACAGTGACAGTGACAGTGAAGTTGCTATCCCATTCAGCAATGTTAGACTAAATTCTAAATCTACTGCAAAATAAAACCTTTTAAAATATTTTGTGAGATCTATACAGTAAAACAGCTGACAGGGGTATTTGTGATCTTACATTTTATTATTTGGACATATTTGCTACTAATATAGTACACATGACTGTAAATTTCTGTCTGTACGTTGTCTCTTGTGAGCAGCTGTTGGCAGTAGAGTGCAGTAATGAAGTAGAATTCATTTGAAATCTTGTATTAATATATTCAACATTCTAAATACTTTTATCTTGTGTGATATTTATAGTTTTATTAGATGGGCATGAAAAGGTCACAGATCATTTTTACATGCAGTTCCACTTGATTTCCCTTAATGAAAAGGAGAAGTGGAACTTATGATTAACAAGCCCCCCCCCCCCCCATTGGTGTTATTTTCGGCTGTCTGGGGCGAGCTGTCTGGAGCACTGCGCCAGGCTGATCTGTCACCGTCCAGCCTCAGGTCACCCGCTGACCTATTCAGCTGTCACCTGCGAGCCGTCAGGGTATCGTCGTGCGCCGAGAGCCGCGTAGTGCCCAGCGTGCGGTAGAGAGAGGGGGGGCCGGGCTTCTCAGGGACGCCTGGACATTCCCCTAAGCCTGCAGTCCTCTCCTCGCTTCTGCTTTTTGCAAAAAACAAAAAAATAATAATGCAAAACTCATGCTCACGTGGCCTGAAGCGAAAGCAGAGAGGCATGGTTCCGGGGTGTTCCTCGCTGTGGTAGTGCTGTGAAATTCCCAGTCTTGGTTGGTGACGTTGTGGCTCCACCCCCCCCCCCCCGATACTGTACCTAATAATACATGCCCTCCTCTGCCCCTGTCCTGCGTGCCTGCTGTCCGGATGGGATGGTGTTTCGGCAGCATTCTGCCTGGCTGCTCATCAAAACAGAAGTGAGGTAGGTCACCAGAGCTTGTCCCTGGTGCATCCCCCCCCCCCCCCCCAATTGCACCATGGCTCGAATTAATGCCCAACATTTATTTATTGGTTTCTTATTTTTCCCAACATGTTTGCCTCAAAACGACTTAAGGATCTAGCAGACTTGAAAGTCGGTTTAAAACAAGTTCGATACTAATATCACAAAATGAACGCAACCAGGGTTAATTTACCATTTTGCAAACTTTAAAACTGGCAGTTCCCTAATTTAACAGGTTTCTGTTCTCCTATTGAGGTGCCTGGGACACGAATGTGTCTTTCCCCACCATAGTGAATCACATATTTACATTTTTTTTTGGTTAAACAATCAGGATGTGCTTCTGTGTTCGGGCTCAGAGTAGACACGTGAGAACTTGTGGCGTCGCAGTGCCGACATAATTGGCTTTGAGTACGGCAGGGGGTTTTCCTACAAGTTGAGTTTGACGGTGACGTTTAGTGACGCAGGCCTGGCGGGCTGTGCAGGTGACGGCATTGCAGGGCTTTCAGTTTTATTTCTAACCACATCCCCCCCATTACAAGCTTACACTTAATTTTATTAGATTCTATTTCCTCACACACACACAGATAAACAAGGTTTACCTTGAACATTTGTCTGTCTATTTGCTTTCCAAGCACTTATCCAGTATGAGGTCAAGATACACTAGACACAAGGCAGGGGACACCCTGGACGGGATGCCAGTCCATCACAGGGCACAGGGCACCATGCACGTGTCCTCTGAACATGTGACTATTGCAGTATGTATATAAAGAAGCTTTGTTTCTTAAATGTGTCCTCCATCTGCAGGCAAAAGGGGCTGTGTCTGGGTAAGGATGACGTCATCCAGGTGAAGGAGGCCTTCAAGTGGATCCTGCAGAGCCTGCTGTCACAGCAGCTGGGCGTTCCTGTGGTGTCCAAGGCAAGTGGCTCATTTCCCGGCAAAGCGGCCGCCTTGAGTGGGCGGGAGCTTTCCGGGAACAGGGAGGCACGCCTGCAGCTCCAGGGCCTGGCTGTCTTGCAGATTAACAGCCCGCTGCCGGGGCCCTGGGCCACCTTCCTTGGCGATGGGGCGGTAATGCCAGCCCTTCCCAAGTGCCGCCAGTGCACGGCTCATCCGAGGCAGTCTGAGGCGGCCCGGGGACGTGTGTTACCCCAGGGAGCTGTGCTGGTCTGGGAAGCCGTGCCTGCCCAGTGTGCAGCTCTCCTGAGGCGGCCTGGGGCTTGTGCTGTTCTGGGGAGCTGTGCCGGCTCTGCATGGCCTCTCTGAGGCAGGCTGGGGAGCTGTGCCTCTGCGTGGCCTCTCTGAGGCAGGCTGGGGAGCCATGCCTCTGCGTGGCCTCTCTCAGGCAGGCTGGGGAGCTGTGCCGGCTCTGCATGGCCTCTCTGAGGCAGGCTGGGGAGCTGTGCCTCTGCGTGGCCTCTCTCAGGCAGGCTGGGGAGCTGTGCCGGCTCTGCATGGCCTCTCTNTGCATGGCCTCTCTGAGGCAGGCTGGGGAGCTGTGCCTCTGCGTGGCCTCTCTCAGGCAGGCTGGGGAGCTGTGCCGGCTCTGCATGGCCTCTCTCAGGCAGGCTGGGGAGCTGTGCCTCTGCGTGGCCTCTCTGAGGCAGGCTGGGGAGCTGTGCCAGTGTGGGTTCAGGTGGCTCACTGCTCATGGTCGTCCTACGTGTCTCTCACACAGAGTCCTTTGGAGGTCAGCGTTGGCTTCACACACCCCGAAACGGACGGAGACTGCCATTTCCTGTAAGTCTGATCTCGCTTACATGCTTAGCCTGCTCTACTGAGATGGAATTTGGCCGTAAACCAAAAATCCAGATTATATATTAAACAAAATGGGGTCACATGACAGATATGGCCCCGTATGGCCCGACTTGTGCCTTTTTGTTACAAAATGGTAGTGGCCCATTCCGAGGGAATAGCGTTACAGGGAGCCCTCCTATGCTTAACCTTAAACTTAACTGGGACCTACTTATCATCCTCATCTTATCTGCATTTTTTGTAGGGCTGCTGCATGTTCAGGCTGCTTCAAACCAGCTAAAAACAAACTGGTAAGTCCTCAGAGGCCAGGAAATCAGCACGGATGAATTCTGTTGTTTTTATTATTATTTTTTTTTTAGTTATTTGTTTTTTAGGTGGCAAATGAGCCTGCCCCAAAGGCGTCCCATGTGCTGAATGCACACACACACACACACACACACACACACACACGTTTGTGTTCATATCTTTGCGGGGACTGTTCATGCATTTCTATGAGCAAAACCCTAATCCCAACAATGACGACCTTTACCCCCACCCAGCCCTAAATTTACCCATAAGTAACCAAAAAATAAACACAAAACCTTTGGCATTTTTAGTTTTTTGATTGCAGTCAGATTTTTATAATATTGCGTTTTCCTTTGTGGGAGCCGAATAAATGGTCCCCACAATGTCAAAATATCAGGTTTTTATCACATTGTGGGAACATTTTGTCCCCACAATGTAAAACACACACACAAACACTGTCTGTGATCTGGCAATTTTACCCCCCCTCCTTGTGTATTTTGTCTGCATGCAGCATTGCTGTGCAAGCTTGCTCTCTGTCCCCCAAATCCCCCCCCCCGCCCCCGTCTATACTGGGCTGACAAGTTCTCCGTACACTTTACACGAGCAACACTTAGCAAAATGAAATTCACAGCATGTCTGGCAGCCTCAGTCAATATAATGGTCTTAATCATTCACTACTCTATTGTGGCGCAGAATATTGTGATCAGTCACGTGATTCTTCTCGGTGGGCATTTTTGGTATGATGCCCAACAGCCCGAAGAAACTGGTTTCTTTTGAAAAACACCGTTGTTTTTTTTTACAGTAAAACAAAGTGGCTTTCGAAAGAAAACACTCATGATAAGCTGTGTATATAATAAAAGGAAAACTCCACCTTAAATGCCTAATCTCTGATGTTCAGCGTAAGCGAGTGAGACGTATGCTGTGGTTAGTGTTTCACAGCCAGGCTGAAGCATTTTCTTGTAAAGTGTTCCTTTGTACAACATAACAAAACATACTCAATGTCTGTGATACAATACTTCCTGTCATTGCCGCTGACGAGATTTCTACATAACTGTTCAGTCAGATGGTTCTGATAGAGACAGTAACCTCGTAGTTGTTGTTGTAACAGAATTTATTGTTTATTGCCCTGCTAGATGCTCTTGCAGGATTACTAATAAGATTGTATCCCACAGCACAGAAAAGTAAACAAGCCCTTCATTCAAATATGAAGACAGTAAGATGGACACGTAGTCGTTTAATTTTTTGGCTTAATTGATATTTTGGTGTCAAACATTCAGTCAGAGCTTGGAATGCAGTGCATACAACATGAGCTCAGTGTTCAAGAGCCACATGTTAAAATGTTTAAAACGCAGAGGCCAGTCTGTAATGGCCTATCAGTAATTTTGTTGTCCCCGAGGTTCTCGGAAGGGGGGGGAGGGGGGTGATTTCTTCTCATAGATTAGCAGGAGGGCCTGTTTTCTCACCCGTTTCCATCGAAGGTCCTGTGCGCCGCTGCGCACATGGGCCGGTCGAGAAGCGTGGGTGAATCCCAGGTCAGTGGCAGCTGAGAGTCTGGCTTCCTGTGAACACGCGCAGGGCTCTGGGCCGGGCCGGGCCGGATCAGGGCGGGGCCACTTTGATAGAAGTACAGCTCGCGCAGCCCCGTGGAACCACATCCTCGCGTCGCGCCGCCATGTTTCCAGGAACGCGCCGCCGAGCGGCCTCATCTGTTCTGTTCCATTTCCCCTTCCTCGGCGTTTCTGCTCTGAAGTCGGTGTTCACCAGAATGGCTGTGGCCAAGGCACTGGAGAGGATTTCAGAAGAGAGCTTTCGCAGGTGAACCATCAGACGGCTCCACCTTCTTTCGCGGGGTCTCCTGAATCCCCCCCCAACTACTTGTGCCTGACCCCACATATTGGCTGGAGAAGTGCCACTGTCACATGAAAAGGTGTTGCCTTTGATGTAATGGGGGGCGGGGGTCGTTTGGTGATGATGCCCCAGTACATTAAATGAACTTAAATGGCGGGTGGGAATGATTGCCCCTTCTCCAGCATGGCCTAGGCTCCGGCCTGCATCAACTGTTCCCTTCAAATGCTCTCTTGGTTTGTTCTGCACAAACAGAAAGTTCACCTGCCCCCCCTGGCTGCCTGCCACAAAGTGCACTGTGCAGGAGGTCCAGTGTCTCCACGCGCCTGTCTTCGTGGCCGGTGAGCGGCCCCCTGTCAGCCCCGCACCCTCCTTGCTGTCCCACCTCACCCTAACCCAATCAGATGACACTTTGCGATCATTCAGTGCTTGGTCGCTTAGGACATCGATTCCATTATATAGGGGTTACTGGGGTCAGATAACCAGAGAAATATGGTGGCAGTTTTTGGTAGGGGTGGGAAATAAATGTGTAAGGTTGAAAACACAAGTATGGTTTACTAATGGAATTAACACCAGTTTTAAATGAATGGCTAGGGATTATTGAGCTGCACATATTGTATATACAGCGGATGCACACGTTGAGCATTTGAAGTATGAAAGTCATCTACTTGCCCCCCACCCCCTACCTTGTTCTGTCAACAGGGAGGTACAACAAATTTTCCCGGACGCTGCCGCAGACCCCCTGGGTGATCGATGGCGAGAGGCGGATGGAGTCCTCCGTGGAAGAGCTGATCACCAGTCCGCTGATCGCCTCCTTCCAGGCCGAGGGTGAGCCTCTGCTTCGGGACGTTAATTAGTCTGTCAGCACCGCAGACCTGCACCCTGTGGACTCTTAGAACTTCTGAGCATCCTCTCCTGCTTCCCCAGGCTTCAACTTCTCCTCGTCGGGCAGGGAAGACGTTGATGTCCGGACCTTGGGAAATGGTAATCATTCCTGGGATGTAACACAGAGAACTACAGTTAGAACTTGTTTGGTTTCTAAAGGAAGATGGCAGCAGCTACTAGTCATACTGGCCTTTAGCAATCTAGAATCACTGCACCGAAATGCTATGTCATACGGCTGAGTAGCAGTAGTAAGACCCCTTCGAGCCTTATTGTGGGGGGGGGGGGCACAATCATCTGCCCCTGTTCCCCATCACAGCCGGCAACATATTTGGAACAAGTGAGCAATTTAAAGAGGAATGCTTGCGGCTGTAGATGGGAAGGATGATTCAGTGGATGTCCCTCTCATGCTCTCCAGGACGGCCCTTTGCTGTGGAGCTGCTGAACCCGCGTAGAGCCCGCTTCAGTCCAGCAGAGGTTCGAAAGATACAGGAGGTACCCCCACCCTGCCACCTCCTGAATCATTATCATTAAACCCGCACCCCCCTCCCTCAAAAATGACTGAATTTCTAATCCCCTACCAGGCTATCAACAAGTCCTCTGACAAAATCAGGGTGCGAGATTTGCAGATCGTTACAAGGTATGTGATGCCCAATCATGATGCTGTCATAATTTTCACAAGGCTACAGCCTTTCAACAGATGTTTTCAGTCACTCCCTTACGCTTACAGCCACGCCGAGTGAAACCGGTTTCCTTCGTAAATGACCCACCAACTTGGTGGGTCACGGTTTTCTTCCTCAGCCTCATCTCCACCTATCTCTCGCATTTATGACGTCAGGGGACCTGTATCCTTGTCCCAGTCGTCATGCATGCCCCAGCATGGCTATTATATTATCCAGCACTATCACCCAGCCCTTCCTGGGTCTTGCCAAATTGAGCACAGTCTCCCAGTGAAGTAGAAACTCACGCCTGCCAAAATACTGGCAGGAATCATTTGTCATTTTCTGGAGCGGGTGTGAAAACCTGGTCGGTCGCTGAAGGATGAAGGTCGTGGAGGAAGTGACAAGGGTGGAAGGCTGCACACCTCTCATTGTCTCCTCTGCAGGGACGCCGTGGGCCACATGAAGGAAGGAGAAGAAGAGAAGACCAAGTCCTACAGCGCTCTGATCTGGACCCACAAAGCCATTGAAGAACAAGACCTTGAGTTTATAAATGACATCAAGGTAAGGTGTGGTCCGGGAGCGTCTGTCCAGGCTTCCCTGAAGGTGTCTGCTTGGTGGTTCACTGGTATGTATGTGTGTCTTCTGTTGCAGGATCTGGGCATCGCCCAGAAAACCCCATTGAGGGTGCTTCACCGTCGCCCTCTAGCGGTCCGCCAGCGCGTTATCCACACTATGGCCACGCGTTTCCGTGACGATCACCACTTCTACCTGCAGCTGCGCACCCAGGCCGGGACGTATCCTCCGCACCAGGTGGCCACACGTGCCTCAGGCCCCTCCCCTTGACAGGCGTTGGGATTAGTTTGGTCGTGGCCACGCTCGCCTCTGTGGCATGTCCATTCACCTCTGGCAGGTCCGCCCTTAATTATCACGTGCAGCTACATCAAGGAGTTTGTGCACGGGGACTTCGGCCGGACCAAGCCCAGCCTGGGGGACCTGATGAAGACGGAGACGGACATCCTAGAGCTGGACGTCGAGGTTGGGATGTGCTGGCTGTTTTACAGCATATGTCTGCTTCCTCTTTACATCTCTTCCTCCAAATGGCCCACCTTAGTTCCTCTCTATCTGGCTATCTCCCACTTCCTTTTTGCACTGTATGTCTCCCCGTCACACTTCCTTTTTGCACTGTATGTCTCCCCGTCCCACTTCCTTTTTGCACTGTATGTCTCCCCGTCCCACTTCCTTTTTGCACTGTATGTCTCCCCGTCCCACTTCCTTTTTGCACTGTATGTCTCCCCGTCACACTTCCTTTTTGCACTGTATGTCTCCCCGTCACACTTCCTTTTCCCCGTTTAAATTCCCATCTTACTTCCTTTTTCCCCATTTGTCTCCCTTCCCCACTTCCTGTTTCCCCCCTTTATGTCCCCCTTTGTGTTCATGTTCATTTAGCATCTTTTTAATCTCAAATCAGTATTTGTCTCATATGCCTGTTTACTCCCTAATAGTATCTTCCCCTGCTCCCCTAGTCTGTGGATGTGGACTGGCCTCCTGCAGTAACGGATCCGGAGTCAGGGGAGAACCCAGACCTCCCAGCCTCACCCCAGCATGGAGGCACACCTGACTGCTAGGAGCGATTCCGGGAGAGACCGCCCTCCTGGGAGAGACCACCCTCCCTCCTGTGAGGAAACTGTGTCAGATGCCTCATGTTTAACTGAAGCCACAATGCCTGTGTTCGTCCCCAGTAATGAACTACTGAGACCTCTTTTGTGTGTAGGGAACTTTTTTTTTTCTCCCATTAAAAAAATCTCCATTTCGCTCCATTTCAGCCAACTTTCTGTTTGGAAGCCATGTTTGTGTTACATCATCGCCACGTCAGGAAGTCACACATCCATCAAATTAAATATTTATTAAGAAGCATGTGAATATTACACTGAGGAATCACAATGAAAACACCACAATATCAAAAATATAAAACTATGATATTAAGAAAGAATGGTCAATTGCTAGAGTTTAAGGACGAGCTGGAATGTGGGGAGCCCCCTTACTCAAGCCCATTTTGAGAAAACACAATCAATTTGTAAAAAGTGATGGGTCCACTTTACAATAAGGCTACCCTTATAAAGGGGTTATTAATGGTTTATAAGCAGGTTATTACCTAGGTTGTAAGACTTTGTAAATCCTTACTAGACAATTATACACAAGTTATACCACAGTTTTCTTATTCTTGAGTTACTACAAAGGGCAGCCTTATTGTAAAATGGTACCAAAGTGATTTACCTCTGAAAAGCAACAACTTATGTTAGAGACTGTGGTTTGATTTGGCCACGGCACTGAGAACCTTACGCTGTAAGTATGACATAGCCATTACGAGGGAAAAGTACATCCCTTTTACTTCATTCTGAGGAACAGAATTAATTACGACTACCATTAAATGAACCAAACATTGGTTAGTCCAAATAGTTTTCAGATTAGACATTCATTCTAAAACCCTCGTGAACGGCTTCTGAGATTACATATATACCATATGTACAACTATCATGTATATATATCATGTATATATACACAAGCACAAATACTTAAGCCTTAAAATAAACCTTACACCAAGATAACCTACTATAGGATATTACCTCCTATAGATCCATTACTCTTTTGACCCTCCGGACGTTGGGAGGAAACCCAGAAAGCCCTATTAGGTCTGTTTTGAGAACGTGGAGACTTGCTCTTGTTAATCATCATTAAGCCTCAGACCACTGTCGAAGCCAGTGAGATACTTGCAAACTAGTACCTTGACTGGCCTAATGCCAGTTCATCCTGCCAAAGTCGCCGTTGACGTCGTTGAACTGATTCACCATCAGGTTGAGGTCGAGGTTTCCCGCCTTGCCCGTGGTATGTCTGAGAGTCTCTAGGGTGGTGCCATTGTGTACTTGGCAGGGTGCCAGGCTGCGGTGCCGCATGGCGCTCTCGGGTGACGCCCCGTTGACGTGCCCTGGCTGCTCCAGCATGAGCTCCTGTTTGACTGGGAACACTGGCGGCTGGGCAAAGCTCTCCAGGATGCTGTCGCAGTCCACGTCATCGGGGTAGGAGAAGGGCCTAATCCCGCCCTTCAGGATGCCCTGGTTTGACGGGAAGCCGTAGGAGGCCCAGGTGGGCTGGGATCCGGATGCCGCCTCCTTGCCCTGGGTGAGGCCTCTCTGCTGCAACTGGCCGTCCCCCACCGTGCCCAGGCACTGTAGGTCGCCCTCGGTGAGCTGGGGCAAGTCGGAGAAGGGGGAGCTACCGTGCGGATCCGGCATCCCCATGCCAGCGGCGGCCTGGATGCTTGGCGGCGGCGTGACGTGGGCGATGGAAACCGCAGGCTGCGCCACGGCGTGCATGGCCATCAGGTATGGCGAGGTGCCACTGAGGGCTGACAGAGGCTTCTGCATGCCATTGGCTGTGGTCGCCTTCGTGTATGTGTTACCGGGCTCTGGAAGGTTGGAAGGAGGTCAGACCTTATCATTAGCCAATGATGTTTTGAATTGATGAGGGACAGGAGATTGGGCCAATCATAGTGCCTGTTTGGGCTTAATCCCCTACAAATAAGGTTTGTGGCCTATTCCTTACCTTTCTTAATCTGAGTTGCCTGTGGTTTCACTCTGTTGAGATGATTCACACCTAAATAAAATGGAATTTTGATATTTAGTAATATCGCTCAAAAATAAATGTGTATATATAGCTTGTACCATTGTTTTGACACGTGTGTGGTCCTTTTTCCTTACCGTTGAAGTTGGGAAGGACCTTCATCAATTCTTCGACCTTCCGTTTTTTAGCGATGCAGTAAAAGGGGTCTGCAAATGGTACAGGATGAACGTGAAAATGTGATGAGAGGCACCAGTGCGCTACCTTGCAGGAACGACCAAACAACCTAACTTTAATTCATACAGAGGACCAAAACTTATCATTAGCCAATGATATGTTTTGAATCGGTGAGTGACAGGGGAGGAGGCCCTGCTGGGGTCAATAAGCGTTGAGCTACGGCAAGTGGCCCCGTGGCCACACCCCTATATTCACTAATCCTGGAGTTATCATGCTTTTGTCAATCCCCCTCCTAACCCCTAGGGGGCAACGCACCTTTATCGTCAGGCAGGTATCGGAACTCCAGTGGCTCGCTGACTGCCTGGTCGGAGGGGCGGCGCAGCTGCATGCCCACGGCCTCGGGGACGGTGACGGAGGCACTGAAGTATGGGGGAGTCCTAAAGACGATGGCGACCTGCCTGTGCACGTCGGCCTGCGAGAAGATGCCCTTCGCTTCCCAGTTCTTTCTAAAGAACCGCACTTCGATGTCATCTGGATCGGGGAGCAAATTAAGGATTGATGAGTGAATAAGTGTGAGAAGTGTGAACAGAAGACTGAACAAATAAATATCAGGCAGGATGGTTACTAATTTAGGGCAGATCTAGTGTAATCAACAGCACCTGAAACAGTTGGTGAGCTGCAGAGTATGGGGTGTAAAATGATTCACAGTTGGCCTGATGTAAATCCACGTTACCTTTCTGGACTTTGTCGCACAGCAGAAAGATCTCGTCCCCTCCCCTCACGCTGCCGCTGTTCCTGTTGACGCGGCAGATGCGAAGCTCGGCTGTGGTGGGGGCACCTGCAGGGGCGAGAGGCCAGGCGGGTCAGCACGTTGGCTCGGTGCCGTTAGCATCGTGTGATCTTGGCAGCTGAACTGGCTGGGTATTGTCAAGTTTGAGGAACTCTCGGATCGGGTAGAAGCATGAGCTCTCCCGCTTCCACCCGCTAGCGGATGTCATCCACACCCCACGTCACTCGCGTATTCAAGCACTGTTTCACAAATTGCGTGACCTCTTCATTTCAGAAGAGGAAATAAAAGTGTGATGTTAATCTCTACCTTAAACCCCTTTTCTGCTGTTGTACGAAATCATGACACTCTCGGGGAGTTTCTCTCTCTGCCGTCCCTCTGATCACCCAGTCAGCTCTTGACCTTTACAGGCAGTCCGCCAGACGTGTCCTCCCCTTCCTCCCCCCCCCCCCGGCATTAACCCTTTCGCCGACATCAGCGGCTGCTTTCTGAAGTTGACGGCCGTGTATGCGGGTAATCTCGCCCACTATCGTGCAGGATTTGCATCACCGCGGCAACCCAGAGGAGCTGGGATTTCCGTGGCGTCTGTGATGACATCACGCGATTGTCACCCGGGCGGTGAGATAAGACCCAGGGCAAGCACGCCAAAACAGCTGCTTCACAGAAAGTTAACATCAGCAAAAAGCCACAGAGAACACTCCTGCGGAACGTGCAGTTCAGTCTGTCAATTTTCATCATGGTGATATGAAATTGTCACTGTAGTCTGTGTGAGCTAACTGGGCTGCTTGGACTAATGTCCCATATTAAAGTAGGACTGTAAAAAGTAACTTCATATGTGTCACCTTTACATCCTTAACACTAATGGCTGAATTCTGATGGACATTGTGATTAAAATGCAATTGTTGCCACAGATATATTTAAAAATGTAGCCTACATAGAATTTTTTCTCAGTCAAAACATTTTTTCACAAACACTGTTGTCTCTGTACAGACAGGTTGATCATTCCTGGTTGTTATTTTGTACAACAAATACTTGAATTATTCATTATAAATGCATGCCTTCTTTCTTGAAAACCTATCCGATACAGGCTGATGCCAATCAAGGGTTCTAAACAGGATTTGTCAGTCTTCCTTTACAGTTATCAGTATAAAAATACCACGAAAAAAATCTCAAGAACAATTCAGGAATCATGACAACCATGAGCTTAAATGGCGACGTGAGCAGACTGGGGACTCAGTACTGAATGTTGAAAGTTAGGGGGCGCTATTATGCGTTACGCTCCAAACCTAAATCCCACATGGGGCAGAGTGAAGGACTGGGAACTTTCCTCCCTGCTACCAACACGGCAGGCAGAAAAACACAGGGCTCAGGCGCATGAACAGAAAGTGAAAGCAAAGCGGCAGTACGGGCTGCACTCACGGTTGTCGAAAATGGGGTTGGAGACCAGAGGCTCCATGGCCTGCACATAGCGGCCCATCTTGTCCTGCAGGAAGATCTGGAAGCACAGGCGCACCACGTTCAGGTCGTACTCCTCGATCTGCAGCAGCTGCTCCTGTGGCACTATAGGCGACAGGGTGGAACATCGTCAGCGTCGAACCCAGGGGGGAGACAGGGCGTGTTTCTCAATAACAAGAACACAATGATCGTACTTGTGGTCTCGCTAACTTTCCTCCCAAGAACGAACTTGGGCCGCAATGAATGGTGGCACTGCTCTCATTCGGAAGCAGGAATGACATCCGGGGATTTTTACCATCCTCCGTACTTCTGTTCTTAGTATTGGAACATGCTTTTCGGCAATGGAGGATGATGTAAAATGGGTACACGAACACAAGTATGGTCAAGTAGACTTAATGAGAAAAATCCAGGGGTTGCCATGTCCCAGCATGCAACGGGGCATCAATAACTACGGGAGAGGTCAGCTTCAAGAATCAGACGGCTGGAAGCCGTGATGAAGTGTAGATAGAAGGTAATGATCTGCACCTTTTGTAGCCATTATTAAATCATTGTAACTAATATATCAGCGAATTACCCTAAAGAATTAACCATAATAGCTACGGCTTGTGTAAAAAATATTTGACTATTTAGAAAGAGACCTAGAAAACAGAGAGGATAAGCCAGATAAATAGCTTGGTATTCTTGGGGCCTGAGCTAAATACCTGCAAAGAAATACTGTCAGCTACAGAAAAGATTTGACTACAGGAAACAATATGAGACCGTCAGCTGAATCAAACTGCACTGAAGCCCTGCCTTAATGTTGTAACCACAAGCCTAGACTAGCGACCGGAAATAAACACAAAGAGCTTCATTCTTCTACGCAGTACGACGAGTCCGTCGAGTACGACACACTTTCCTATTTGACAGAAACGTCCGTTGAAAACCGGAACGCAAGACATGCTACGGTCACGTCGCGCCGAGGAAGTAAACAGGTGTGGGGGCGGTGACCAGGAACCGCTTCCTGTATTATCAGGGAGGTGAGGAAGTGCAGGAGCGAGAGGCTGACAGGCTAGGAGAGAGGTGAGCGTGAGAGAGAAGCAAGGCTGTGCCCTACAAGTCACAACATTCTCTATTTCCACCTCCAAGACCTTCAGCCTTTTCTTAGCGTGAACATTCACGCTTTCTGCTTCATCAACGCCAAAAGTGCACAGCCTGCCGCTCACAAACACGGCCATTGGGTACATGTGCCCACATGTGTGAGCGTGCATCACACATGCATATGCCTGCACACATCCACCCACACAGTTTCGACGTGCACCTCCCCCGGATACATGCCTTGTGGTCACTGAGGACACATAACCTCCGGGTGATAGCAAAGTGAGGGAACCGAGACCAGATATGGGGGCTGATGGAGACGCAACCCCCTCCCATCCCACGCATCCCTAACCAAGCACATACGCTGTGACACGGCATCAAAAACAACAGAGAACTGGGCCACAGAGAGATGGGGTGTGGAGGTGTGTCACAGGCTTACTCAGGCACAGGGAAGACCTTGTAGGGGTATAGATCTTGTTTTTGGCGCAAAATATGAATGAGGAAGCAGACAAAAGGTGATGTCAGAGGGAGGGAGTTGTGTCTGTTACGCCGTGGGCGTTGAACACGGGGAAAGTGCACCAGCGGGGGTGGAGGGGGTGAGCGAGCACTCAGAGTCAGACAGCCAGTGGCATTTTGATTCTATAGTTCTTCTCAGGGCTCCCTCTCTCTCGTTCCCCTCAAAGTTACACTTGTGAAACCAAAACAAAAGTGACAGCTAAGTCTAAGCGTGGCCGAAGCAACGTGGGGATTAAAACGATAGAGCTGCTGAACACACACTCGGTTAAGCAGGATAAGTTTGATCTCAGATGGATGCTTTGAGCACAAGGATTTATGATCTCATTAGGTTTAGGGTTAGGTTTAGGCCGAGCCTCCTCTGAGAAATGGAGAAACCTCACTTACAAAGCTATGGTTCTGAATCTCCCAGCAAGGGCTTTGCTGGAGGTCTTACCGTTAAAGGGGTTGATGCACTGTTTCATCCTCTGCATTATGGCTTCCTTCACCTCCTTCCGTTTGACGCACTGTATCCCCAGGTTCTGAAAGCTGAGGGCAGAAGAGACGATGGGTGTTAAACCTGAGTGTTGTGATGAGGGCCCAGCTGGTGGGGTCAGCACAGACAGCACTAATTTCTGCCCCGTGTCCTCGGGGACCAGCAGTTACTCCATATTTTTGCTCTCTCCCAACTCGCAGCATATCTGTACAAAACAAACAAAATCACTGAATGAAAGGTACAGGGGCGTTGGGAGCTGGGAAGGAACGGAAATGTGGGCTGAGCAACACTGATATAGAGTAACGACAGGGTAGACAGTGCATCTGGAGCCGGTTCCGGTCAGCGTATATGGGTACAAGGCAGCGGTACACTATGGATTACATCACAAGGTATAAACACACACTCACTCACACAAGCAGTGACACTATAGGGGCATGGGGTGTGCCTGTGTGGGTTAGCCTTTTTCATACAGGTGCTCCCTGGGTTACGATGCTCCTTGTTTTTCACATTCAGTACATTAGTTGATATATTACATGAGATATTCTACATTTTATTATAAAATAGGATTTGTGTTAGTGATTTTGTCCAACTGCAGGCTAATGTAGGTGTTCTAAGCATGTTTAAGGTAGGCTAGGCTAGGCTATGGTGTTTGTTAGGTTAGGTGTTCTGTATTAAAATGCATTTTCGCCTTAAGAGAGGTTTATGGAACGTAAGCCCTTCATAACCTATAGGCTGTACTGCATATGAGGCTTGCTGGCTTCCCTGGTTTTTCTCTGCACTCTGTGCACGCTGACCAGCCCTAGGTGGTATCTCAGAGTTTCATTCTGTCATGGGAAACAGCGGGGGGGATTTCCCTGGCAAGGACCCACTGGTCATCTTATGCAAAGCATTTGCCATAGTACTGTTTTCCTACTGTGGTTTTCAAAGAGACGATGAGTCTGACCACACTGGAAAATCAAATAGGAACTCCTTTGAAGTTTTCTAGTATTACGATTAACTGGTTTTTCTGACTTGAAACTTTTAAAAATATGGGAATGTGAATCTCTTTTTAGGTGATTTTTAAAAATAGGCTGGAGATTTTAAGTTCTGCATATGGATGGTCACCATGATTTCAAGAAATCAACTAAAAACACATGAATTAGCTATAACTTTTTTTCTTACTAGAGTATTATCATATTAATGAGGTGAAAATGTCACAGTCTATCTCCTTATTTTTCCCAGTGTCACTGCTTGTGTGAGTGAGTGTGTGTTTATGCATTGTGATGTAATCCATAGTGTACTGCTGCCCGGAACAGGCTCCAGATGTCACTGTCCACCTTTCTACCCTGTCGTTACTGTATATCAGTGTTCCTCAGCTCAGTCCTCAGTCACCCCCTGACACTCCATGTTCCTGTTCCCTCACGGCTCACAGCGCAACCAATACCTGCCGGTCCTTTGGTGTTACTCTGAGCATCGAGGCCAGAGCGGTTCGGGGACAGGGGACAGATGATGACTTACGCATAGATCCTACGGTCCGCGCTCATTTCAGCCTCGTAGTACCCGTCCTTGCAGTCCTTGCCAACCAGCTCGTGGGGGTGTGGTCTGTACGGCTCATTCTTCGTCACCAATGACACGCGGATCTTCCCTTTACCAAATATGTTAAAAATCTAAAGATGGAAGTAATGGACAAAGAAAAGTCATGTTAGAACTTGTTGAGCACTTGTCCAAAACAAACTATTGATATTACCTACAGCAAACAAATGCTTTTCTTCCCAGTCTATTACAACAAGCACTGATCCCAGGGGGTTAACATAATAGATTATGTGCTATGCTGAGGAAATATACTTACATATTTTCTCATTTAACAGTGCACAAGGTAAAATTGCAGTGTTACGCATTTCAGATGCATGCAGCATTACATAATTATTTTGTTAATCCGTTTCTGAATACAAAACGATAATCTGGGCTTCAATGTGCTTGTACAGACAATGAAGCACCTTCCCCCAGAGGTCTTCTTGTTTTTATTCGTTAATGTAACCGCTCTCTAAATATTCAACGGTTCATTCATTTCCTCTGTTTCATTTAAAGGTACCGGTGACACCAATTCATTGAAAAGTGCAGCTCGGGCGTGCTTTTGCCTCCCTCTTACCTGAATGGTGGGGTAGGTCTTGTTGTCGTCGGTGCTCCTCTCCCCCAGGATGCTGCCCGCCGATCGCCCTTCGCACTTGTACCGGTACCGCATGCCCCTCTGTTTCGGCTGCTCGAATATCTCCGCGTAAGGCTTGCACACTGCAATGGAGCGGGAGAGTGTTCATCCAGTAAATCCATTCCCATCATCCATCCACCGTGGAGAGGATGGGGGCTCAGAGTCATTACAAAAAACGAAAAAGAACTGCTTCCGTCAACTGCCACGTTTCATTTATAAACACCCCTCTGGTGAACGCATAGGGATTGTGATCAAGAATTACTTACGCGCAGATTGGGAAATGCTTCATACTTAAGAGTAACAATACAGTCGGAATTGTATGTGTTCAGTGCTCCACCAGTTACTGCGTTTTACACGCTGACCGTTATAATCGAGGTAAATATAGGCTACTATTGCAAGCCTCAGTTTCTCAATCATTTAATTTACTGTATCTTTGAGAAGACTGATGACGTTATAAGATAGAGACGCACAAAGTTTAAATACGCTGGAAATTAGGGTGCATGGGTCTGTGGCAACTACCCGCGTAAATATATATAAACTTTTTGCAGTGAGAGAACTTGACAGTAAACACAATGGAAATCACATCAGAATCCTACATTCTGCACAGAGGTAATTATTGTCAATGACTATTACTGTTATTTACAACCACGTTTGAAAGTAAATTTAACATGTGCATAGAAAATGCAGAAATGGAAAATAAATGCCAAATTGAGCTGCCCACATACCAAACGGCATCATATTCGCCTAAACCGTCATTGGCCAGATAAGACGTACAGAGAACATTCACTGTAGTAACCAAAATTTAGGTTACTGAATATGCAGTGTGTTCATTAGAACAATGAATCGGACGCAGTATTCAAATTCAAAAAAGGGGTGAAACGTTTATTGAAAGTCGAGTTTCTAAAAAAAGGAAGCTGGAATTTCATGACTTCCCCAATTACATTCGCATTCTCGTCCAACTTTGAAAAGAATTTACTCCCGTAGCAAACTGCGTTTTTCTGAGATTGTGTTTATGACTTGATGGTACAGTATTCATTCCGCAGGTTTAGCTTTCAGGCGTAAATTTCCTTCCGCATTTCTGCGATTTTAGCTGCATAATACGGGTCGAACGCGTAGTGGCGCCGTAGAGTTTCATTTTAAAATAACAATCGGGTCTCTGTTAAAAATGATCTGCACCAAGCATTTAGTAAAACTTGATAATTAATTAAAATGATCCTACAAGTTGGTAAAACAACACATTTTAGTCCATCTGTGAGCTACACTGATATAACAGCAGCATACGAAACAACGGTACAATGCGGATATTAAGTTTTGAAATAAGAAAGTAATTTTCACCGGCATTTTAAGGTTAACGTTTTGCAGTAGGCGTCATGCGACAGCTAGAAGTCTTGCAGTCTTGTAGTTGTGGTCATTTTTTAATCCCGCAAAGAAAAACGGGTAAATATAAAGCTATAGCCTATTTAAACTTTTATATATGGAATATATATGACAAGGAGTAACGACATTTTTTTATGTGTATGAAAAAGATTACAGTTTTTGTCCATGGCACCAGGAAGACAGTTTAAAACAGCAGGCATAGAATGCAATAATCATCGTTACAAACCTAAGAGTTATAAAGTAACTTGCGTAGCGCTAAGAGCATAAAATGGTTCTCTACTCACAGTTCATGTTGTGGACGGTCTTATCACACTTTATCATTTCAACGTCAAGTTTCAACTAATACTAGAGAGGTGATGTATTGAGTTTAAAAGACGGAGCCGGGAATTCCCCCCCCAGATCTCCGCCCATTTTGGGCGGTTTTATTATTAAACTAATACGTCACATAATCAAACATACTGTATGTTTCAGCGGTAGGCTACCTGTTAATTACGAGTCAGTCAACAGTAACAGGAAGCACAAGTGCTGTAGAAGGCCATAGAATTACAATATTAAAATACACTTTATTAAATCCACTAAGCGGAGTGACAGCGTTCTCGTAAAGCACAAACTTTTTGCCAATATAAACATGCCTCACTATTCTTTCCAAAACAGCCATCATGATTTCTCCGGCCACAAACAGGAGACGGACCTGTGTCCAGTGAGCTGGCTCACATATCGCAACATTACAGCGAGGCCACTGGTTATTAGTACAGGCGAGGTGACCTCATGCATCAAGAATAAAAACTACGAGCGTTTCCAAAGTGAAAAAACATGAACACTTTCGATGAGTCTTGACCTGCATCGGGTAAAGTGTAGAGGTTATTCAATTCCAATATTTCAATTATTAGGAAGAACGTGCTAATTATCTGCATTTATACGTTTGCTTAAGCAAATTTAATCCGTTATTTACGTTAAGACATTGTATGTGTATCCTATATTATATACATACTGGGTAATCCCCGGCCGACATCCGAAGTTCTGAAGTGGGAATCTCCCGGGTAGCCTACTATTTAATATTAAGCATGTCATGCTATTCACTTTCTCATAAAAAGTAGGTTAATTCGCCAAATGAACGCGCCTTTTAATGGCGCTAAATTCCTATGCATCACGAACTGTATTTTATACCAGCAAAGAAATTAAAAATCATATTCAGGAATCAGGAAAGATTATCTTAGATTATCACCTTTTCAGTTTGTGTGCAGAGCGCTTGGAGTTAATGTCGACGGAGCGGGCAGATTAAGAACAAACATCGCTTACAGTTAATATCCTTATTAAGTGATTTATCCTCCGAGTCGAAATGTAACTACACATCTCGGCGTCGCAGACGGCTGTAACTGTGATTGGTCCACAGGGTAGCATTCGCTTATTATGGGAGCGAAGACAGCATACATCCCAGCTGTACTTATATCCCCGATTGAAACTGGAGCGTTAGTTTTATCTGACATTAAATAACCCACCTTAGGCATCATAGCAAGAAATCTACAAAACACTCAGGATGACAGCGCCAACTTCACTTACCTCCATGAAGTTTATTAGCGCTCTGCAACACTAAAAAGTAAGTAAAAAGTAGCATAGACACTAACTTCAGAATATGCATGAAAAGTGACTTTGTAGCGGCTCGACATTTTTACAGATTTGCCTACGGGAAGTTAGGAGGAGCACAAACGTAACCCGGACTCGATAAATGGATACTTTGTTAAATGTTTGCTTTTCTGTTCAACTGCATGATTCAAAAATTGAATATGTCGCAGTGTGGGAAGACAATAAATAATCCGAAACATCCAAAACTATGTATCACCTAGCGTTTTGGCTGAGTAATTGTTGAGCCAGCCAGCCACCCCACACACAAAAATTAATAAAAACTGTTAAATAGGCGCACTAAATTCAAAACATTACGCCCGTGTCAAGACCAAACGGAATCAATGCGAGGAAAAAAGCAAAGGTCTGTTAGGGGTTTTACACTTTTTTGGTGTTATTTTAAAGGAGGCAATATACATTACATACAAAAATACCCTTTCAAATACATTTATTACCTTACAAAACAATACCAAAATCAACGGTTTATTGTGATAAATGAAAAGACTGACAGATCTGACAGAGCGCTCTGCATGTAAATTAAGTGACTGCAAGGTTTGTGACGTTTACATTTATATAAAAGTACGTTACAAATATGCTAATATAAATAAAATAATCCCGTCAAAGAATGCATCTTCAAAGTAGGTGATCGATGGATGTATAACTTCCAAATATCATGGTGGAATCATTCTGCAGATGAGAGAGTGAAGCTGAAGTCCCTTCGGAAGACGGACACCAGAGGAGCCCTTGGGGGGAGGGGCCTCCGTAGGAGGCACACGCAGTCACCAGCCCGTGCTCATGCTCAGGGAGTCACAACAGCAGGAGGAGAAAAGCCAGAAAGTCATCCCACGGCGACAAACATGACATAGCCGGGCGCTACACGCCGAGCAACCCAGCCTGTCACAGGACGACGGGGAGAAAAATGGGATCAGCTATCAGCTCCTGTTCTGTGCATCCCGGAGAGAGAGAGAGAGGGAGAGAGAGAGAGAGACGCATCCAAACTGGAGGGTGGCTGGGGGGGTGCTGAAGAAGCATGGCCGCTTCCACAGAAGGGTCCTTCTTAGCTCAGCTATTTCCAACTGAATCAAACGGAAAATTGAAAAGGGAGGCAGGCAAAAAAAAAAGAAAAAAAAAAGGGGGGGGGGTGGAGGTGAGGGGGTGAGGTTTCGGGAGTCAGAGATAGATATGAAATCAAAAACGGACTTTCGACTGCTTGCTTTCAGTGAATAAAACTGAA